GCTTATGAAGATTCAACAGTATTTTGTGGGGAGGGAATTATCATTATATGGAAAAGGAATCAAAACTATATGAATCCCTCAAAATAAGAGGCGTTATGTCAGAACGAAAATAGAAGAGACGATTGTTACATTCACTAGAATAAAGCTTCCAGGGTGTCAGAACACTATCGGAAATATTTGAATGATCTGTGGTTCTACAATAAATCATAATTATTTAAATTTATTGTTATTTTGTATTCTTTGGTGTGATGCAGTCAGGTCCGCTCGTAAAACAACTACGTCTGTCCGAAATATAAGTATGGTTGCTGACTTCTGGACTCAAGGGCATAACAGAAAGAAGCTAAACTAACGTGAACCAATAAGAAATTAGCTGCTAACTCAAGGTTATTGGTGCTGGGCAGGCATCTACTTAAATAGAGGCAATAAAATCAACAACAGTCAAGTTTTTGTTCATTGTCATGAAACAAACTGTTGAAGATAAAATATTGGAATGACTCAATCATCATTCACAGGACAAAGTGTTAAGATATTCATCCAATATCCTAAGGGAATTATTGGTCATTTCCTACTGGTCAATTTTATGGTCATCCTAGATATCAATGTCACGTGCTCCAATGTCGTTCCTTATTGGTTTTCCTGACTACCAATGTCACTTCAAATGTTACTTCCTATTGGTCGTCTTAACTGTCAATGTCACAGGCTTCGATGCTGTTTCTCATTCGACCAAAATGTATAAATACGCATTATCTGTAACGTTTTATGACCAGGACCCGGATTCCTAGTCCAGGATTCTGACTCTCTTCTGGACTCGGACCTCGTACTTTCTGGATGCTTGTAGAATACAGGTTCTACTTCATATCACGTCTTATTTTTACTAAATATGGTGGTCGGGATAATTGGATTTGAGTAGCATATCGTGTCGCCGGATCTTCGCTCTCGTTTTCCGACTAGATAAACTCGTAATAGTTCAAGTATATCAAGTTGACGTGCAGGCGTAACACAAAGTGATTGTATAGACAAGTTCAATTTGAAAACAAGTTGATATTAACTAAAGAACCATTGAAACCCTGAGATACAAAATAATTATTTTGTCCCCGAACTTTAAAGCTAAAGACATTTATGACTCAAACAGCGATCTAACCCAAAACCTCTGGGTTTAGCTGCGTGAGCATTACATTTAGATCAGGACGTGGACTTGCTGCAGTCCGATATAAATATGACCACAATGTAAAACACCATATCTTTTCACGAGACCATAAGGGTTATTTTTTTACAAACCAGCATTTTAGCTAAAAGACCATTACGTTTTGAGAAGATGGGCATCTGAAGACCAACGAACCCCCATTTTCAGCTGAAACGTCTGAAATTAAAGACCTTCTTTTGGGTTCCTTATACAGTCTCTCGTTTTCAAATCGTTTTTGTGCGCTCCTGTTATGCATACTGCTTGAAAGAAACATAGCAGTAAATTACAGTTAATTACTAACGCATTAATTGATCTGTTTAGTACTACTACTTCATGCTATGAACTCCGCCAGTAGAACCTTCGTAGTTACTGCCGGTCCCAAGCCCGGATAAAGGAGGATGGTTGGACATGCGGTTGGCGACCCCATTCCGTCAAAAAATAACTTGCCAAAAAAAATAATCCAAATCATTTTAACTCTGCCCTGGGAGTTCGAAGAATTATGACGTCGCGTGATGAAAGCCGAGTTCCCTCGGAAGTCACAGGGCCGATGCCTCTTCTGACAACCAGAACAACCATTCTTTTAGGTACATGGAACGTTCGTACATTGTGGGAGACTGGAAGACTATTTCAAGTTGCCGCAGAAATGAAAAGATACAACCTCGAGGTGCTCGGCATCAGTGAAACGCATTGGACAAAGGTAGGACAACTGAGACTAGCTTCAGGGGAACTGCTGTTATACTCTGGTCATGAAGAGGAAAACGCTTCACATACACAAGGAGTTGCACTGATGCTTTCCAAACATGCACAAAAGGCACTGATAGGATGGAAATCTCATGGACCCAGGATCATCAAATCATCCCTCAAAACAAAGAAAGAGGACATTACAATGAATGACATCCAATGTTATTGACCTACCAATGACTACAATGACGACGTTAAAGATCAATTCTACGAGAGGCTGCAGTCAATCGTCGAGAAGTGCTCACCAAAGGATTCGACGATTCTTATGGGAGACCTGAATGCCTAGGTTGGAATGGACAACACTGGATATGAAGACATCATGGGACGACATGGACTGGGAGAAAGGGAAGAAAACGGTGAGAGATTTGCAAACCTATGTGCCTTCAACAAACTGGTCATCGGTGGCACAATATTCCCACACAAACGCCTACACAAAGCTACATGGATTTCACCGGACCACACTACTCAAAACCGAATTGACCATATCTGTATCAACAAAACGTTCAGAAGGACCATGAAGGATGTGAGAACCAAGAGAGGAGCTGATATAGGTTCAGATCACCACTTGCTGATCGTCGAAATGAAACTGAAACTAAAGAAGCACTGGACAACGGGGCAGACAACATCACAGAAGATTATTACAGCCTTTCTTCGTGATACCGTAAAACTCAACGAATTCAAGATAGCCCTCACCAATAGGTTCCAGGCCTTGCACGATATACTTAACGGAGAGGGAGCAACATTGGAGAACAATTGGAAAGGGATCAAATAAACAATCACTTCAACATGTCAGGAGGTCCTGGGTCACAAGAAGCACCATCACAAGGAATGGACGAGGAACAAGAGGGCAGCAATCAATGTCAGCCGAACAAGAGCAGAGAAAGTTAAGGCACAAGCTGCACACACAGAAGCAAACAGGGAAGTGAAGAAGAGCATTAGAGCCGACAAACGAAAATATGTGAAGGATCTAGCGACGAGGGCGGAAAAGGCTGCAAGAGAAGGAACCTTGAGACAATCGTACGACACAACAAAGAAGCTCGCTGGAAACTATCGTAAACCAGAACGACCAGTGAAAAGCAAGGAAGGCATAGTAATCAGCAACACTGAAGAACAGCAAAATAGGTGGGTAGAGCACTTTCAGGAACTCCTGAATCGACCAGCTCCACTTAACACACCCAAAATCGAAACAGCATACACGGACCTCCCAATTAATATTGGCGCACCTACGATTGAGATCAGTATGGCCATAAGACAAATCAAGAGCGGCATAGCAGCAGGACCAGACAACATTCCAGATGAGGCAATGAAAGCAGATGTAGAAGCAACTGCGAAAATATTTCACATTCTCTTCAAGAAGATTTGGGATGAAGAACAAGTACCATCAGATTGGAAAGGATACCTGATCAAAGTACCAAAGAAAGGCGATCTTAGCAAGTGTGAGAACTACACACTCTTCTTTCAATGCCGGGCAAAGTCTTCAACAGGGTATTGGTAAACAGAATGAAGGACTTCGTAGACGCCCAACTTCGAGATCAACATGCTGAATTTCGTAATGCTCGATCATGTACTGACCAAATCGAAACATTGCGGATCATTGTGGAACAATCAATTGAATGGAACTCACCACTCTACATCAACTTCATCGACTACGAGAAAGCATTCGATAGCGTGGATAGGAAAACACTGTGGAGGCTTCTTCGAAACTACGGTGTGCCTGAGAAGATATTTACCATCATACGGAATTCTTGTGATAGATTCAACTGCAAAATCGTACACGAAGGACAGCTAACAGACTCTTTCGACGTGAAGACCGGTGTCAGGCAAGGTTGCTTACTCTCATCCCTTTCCTTTCTCCTGGTGATCGACTGGATTATGAAGACGTCGACATCTGAAGGGAAGCACGGTATCGACTGGACAGTTAGGACGCAGCTGGACGACCTGGACTTCGCAGATGACTTAACTGTCTCACACGAAACAACAAATGCAAGAGAAGACGACCAATATAGCAGCAGCCTCAGGTGCAGTAGGTCTCAACATTCATAAAGGAAAAAGCAAAATTCTCAGATGCAACACAACATGTACCAACCAAATCACTCTTGATGGAGATGCTTTGGAGGACGTTAACACCTTTACATATCTGGGCAGCATCATCGGCGAGAAAGGTGGATCCGATGCAGATGTGAGGGCGCGGATTGGTAAAGCAAGGGCTGCATTTCTACAGTTGAAAAATATTTGGAACTCTAAACAACTTTCAACCAAAACCAAAATCAGGATTTTCAATACAAATGTCAAGACAGTTCTACTGTATCGGGCGAAACTTGGAGAACTACGAAGGCCATCATCCAGAAGACACAAGTGTTTATTAACAGTTGTCTACGCAAAATACTTCGGATTCGTTGGCCAGACATCATTATCAACAACGTACTGTGGGAGAGAACAAACCAGATTCCAGTGGAGGAGGAAATCAGGAAGAAGCGGTGGAAGTGGATAGGACACACTACGAAAAGCACCTAACTGCGTCACGAGACAAGGCCTCACATGGAACCCTGAAGGCAAACAGAAAAGAGGAAGGCCAAGGAACACATTACGCCGAGAAATAGAGAAAGATGTGAGAGGAATGAACAAACATTGGACAGAACTGGAGAGGGAAGCCCAGGACAGAGTTGATTGGAGAAAACTGGTGGGCGGCCTATGCTCCATTGGGAGTAACAGGCGTAAGTAAGTAAGTATGTACTTCATGCTATGAGAGTTTTTTCATACTTTTGGCGTGCAATTAGATCACTTTTATCAATATTAGTTTAAAGCGCCCAGGAACAACATAAAAAACACCTGCAATTTCGATGCACTGAAACAACAAGGTTTTCATGTCACCGTATATCTAAATATAAAAGGGAAACGTCAACCAAAATCTTTGGGTGATGAGTATTTTAATATTTGAGGAAGTATTAGAGGAAGAGGTTAGAAAATTACTTTTCAGGAATATCTATATTACATTATAAATACGCTGTTTAGTGACAAGATGAATCGATTTACAGATATTTAAGCTTTAGAAAATTTGCAGAATAAAAATATGTATCTATAACGCTGAACGTAAAAGTAGTAAAGCACCACCTAAAAACATCATAGTGAAAAAATAGCTATGAGTCTGAACGAATCCGGACATAGGAGGGATAAATGGATGAATATCACTAGCAGGCTTTATTTCTATGCCTCTTTCCAGTTCGTACTGACCTTGAGCTTTTGCCCACTGAGTCATTTTTTCCATCCATCTTCTGAAACGAACAGAAAAAAGAAATGTTCTGTAAGAATAAAACACATAATAAAAGAAAAACTAATTCATACGTAGTAAGAGTAACATAATCGACAAAATAAAAACAGTACCAGTAGAATACTAAGGAAAAGTGTAAACGAAGACAATACTAAAACAAACAATATTGTTGACATCAAAGCAGAATGAAAAATTACTGGGATTATTTAGAATGGTGGAGAAAATTTGTAGCTCAGGTGGATGATTGTGGTGGTGTTTCGTTCTCTGAGCTGGATGTTTTGGTTGTGAAGCTTTCATTATTCTTTTGAAGTTTTTGCTGATAGTGTTGTTCAGGAGAACAATGAAAGCTCCACAAACAACAGATCCAGCTCAGAGAACGAAATACCACTACAATTGGGATTACTAAAAAAGAAATTCTTATAGTTAATAAGTCTACCCATTGAATGAGGTTGGACACATGACTTAGTTTTACCGAAGGGTGAAGCTGATAAAGAAAAAAAAAGAATGCAGCTAACAGTGAGACGCAGGAAGTGCGCTAAGCGCTACTTGGAACTCGTTTGTTTATTTCAGATAAACATGTCTTAGAGTGGCCACATCAAATAAACCTTACCACTACATCATTACCCTGTATCTATATCTCTGAACTATCAAAAGCGAAATTTTGACAAGACAATAAGATGACCATGATCGAACCCATAGAAGAGATGTATAGTGTTACTTACGGTTCTTAAGAAACTGAGTGGATATAAGCAAAATTCACTAACTTCTACCACATTTGACTTTTCAGAAAGTACTTATGTGATTGGTTCAATGTTACTTTGCAGCATTTGAGCTAGGATCAGCAAAACCATAATAAGAATGTCGACAGTTCAGTGGAGAAAATGTTTTATCGGAAAATGGAATTTCCCTAAACTGTACAATCGTAGCTACATATCATTTTATCTGGCACACTCTATGTGAGATATAACATTCACCTATAAGCTGCCATTAATTTCATCACAAATTTTTTATATAATTTTCATTTCGTTATAACGGTGAATCTTAATTATTCACACACATTACATCACTGCCACTAGCTTGGATTCAACGATGTATCAAGATCCCAATGACACAAATGACAAAGTAAAGGTCATGTCAGACAAACAGTACAATTCCAATAGTCTTAGACATAAAACAACTGAAGTTTACTGCATAATATAGATCGACTGCTTAGCCTTATATAGGTCAATCTGTCTAGGGAAAATTACTGATTACAAATAAAACGATACATTAAACGACATTGATACTTATTACTAGGCAGTTATAACTCCGCCTGGAGCCCCTCTGCGGCTACTGCCGGTCCTAAGACCGGATAAAGGAGGGTTGGAGACTAAATCACACAAAAAACGCTAACCAGAAAACATAAATCAAACCATTTTAACTCTGCTCTGAGAGTTAGGTCTTCATTCAGGAAAATTATGACGTATCATAATGAAAGCCGAGTTCCTTCGGAAATCACGAGGCCGATGACCTTTCTCACAACCATAGCTACCATTCCTTTAGGTACATCGAATGCTCGAACAATGTGGGAGACTGTTTCGAATTGCTGCAGAGATGAAAAGATGCAACCTGGAGGTGTTTGGTTCTCTGAGCTCAGAGAACTCTGGCCATGAACAGGAAAATGCTTCACATACACAAGGAGTTGCACTGATGCTTTCCAAACATGCACAAAAGGCACTGATAGGATGGAAATCTCATGGACCCAGGATCATCAAATCATCCCTCAAAACAAAGAAAGAGGACATTACAATGAACGACATCCAATGTTATTGACCTACCAATGACTACAATGACGACGTTAAAGATCAATTCTACGAGAGGCTGCAGTCAATCGTCGAGAAGTGCTCACCAAAGGATTCGACGATTCTTATGGGAGACCTGAATGCCTAGGTTGGAATGGACAACACTGGATATGAAGACATCATGGGACGACATGGACTGGGAGAAAGGGAAGAAAACGGTGAGAGATTTGCAAACCTATGTGCCTTCAACAAACTGGTCATCGGTGGCACAATATTCCCACACAAACGCCTACACAAAGCTACATGGATTTCACCGGACCACACTACTCAGAATCAAATCGACCATATACGTGTCAATAAAAGGTTCAGAAGGACCATGTAGAACGTGAAGACAAAGGGAGGAGCTGATATAAACTCAGATCATTACTTTCTGGTCGCCGAAATGAAACTGAAACTCAAGAAACACTGGATGACGGGGCGAACATCACAAAAGTTTAACACGACGTTTATACGGGTTACTGGGAAGCTCAAAAAATTCAAGATAGTCTTCAGCAATAGGTTTTAGGCCTTGCACGATCTACTCAATGGAGAGAAAACAACCATGGAGAACAATTGGGAAGGGATCAAGGAGGCGATCGCTCCAACATGTCAGGAGGTTCTGCAACACAAGAATTGCCATCAAAAGGAATAGATCTCTGTTGATACTCTTAAAAAATTGAAGAAAGGAACAAGAAGGCAGCAATCAACATCAGCCGAACAAGAGCAGAGAAAGTTAAGGCACAAGCTGCACACACAGAAGCAAACAGGGAAGTGAAGAAGAGCATCAGAGCTGACAAACGAAAATATGTGGAAGATCTAGCAATGACGGCGGAAAAGGCTGCAAGAGACGGAAACTTGAGACAATTCTACGATACAATAAAGAAGTTCGCTGGAAACTATCGCAAACCAGAACGACCAGTGAACATCAAAGAAGGCAAAGCAACTACCAACATTGAAGAGCATAGAAACAGGCGGGTAGAACACTTTAGGGAACTCTTGAATCGACCAGCCCCACTGAACCCATTCTACATTAAAACAACACCCACGGACCTCCCTATCAATGTTGACCCACTAACAATTGAAGAAATCAGTATGCCCATCGGAAAAACCAAGGGCGGCAAAGTAGCGGGACCAGACAACATTCCAGATGAGGCAATGAAAGCAGACGTGGCAACAACTGCAAAGATACTCCACATCCTTTTCACCAAGATTTGGGATAAAGAGCAAGTGCCAACAGACTAGAAAGACGGACATCTGATTTAGATACTAAGACAAGGCGATTTCAGCAAGCGTGAGAACTACACAGTCATCACTCTTCTCGCAATACCAGGCAAAGTCGACAACAGGGTATTGGTAAACAGAATGAAGGACTTCGTAGACGTCCAACTTCGAGAACAACAGGCTGGAATCGTTAAGGATCGATAGTGCACTGACCGAATCGCAACATTACAGATCATTGCGGAACAATCAATTGAATGAAATTCACCACTCTACATCAGCTTCATTGACGACGAGAAAGCATTCGACAGCGTGGACAGTAAAACACAATGGAGGATTCCTCGACACTAAGGCGTGCCTAAGATAGTCAACATAATACTGCAAGACCGTGCATGGAGGACAGCTCATAGACTCGTTAGAATAAAAACCAGTGTCAGGCGAGGTTGCTTACTCTCATCCTTTCTCTCTCTCCTGGTGATCAACTGGATTATAAGGACGTCAACAAATGGGGGGAAGCACGGGATACACTGGACAGCCAGGATAAAGCTGAACGATCTAGACTTCACAGATGATCTGGCTCTCCTATCGCACACACAAAAACAAATGTAGAAGGCCAGTATAGCAGCAGCCTCAGCAGCAGTAAGTTTCAACATAAACAAAGAGAAAAGCAAGATTCTCCGATACAATACAAAATGCACCACGGAGAAGCTTTTTACGATGCAAAAAGCTCTACATCTGGGCAGCATCAGTGATGAGCAAGGTGGATCTGATAGTGGTGTGAAGGCGGGGATCTACGAAGTAAGGGAAGCATTTCCACAATTGAATAACATCAGGAACTCAAAACAACTATCAACCAACGCCAAAGTCAGGATTTTCAATACAAATGTCAAGACAGTTCTACTGTATGGAGCGGAAACTTGGAGAACCACGAAAGCCATCATCTGGAAGATAAAAGTGTTTATTAACAGTCGTCTACGCAAAATACCGATGATCCGTTGACCAGACACTATCGGAAACGACCTACTGCGAGAGAAAAAACCAGATTCCAGCGGAGGAAGTGGATAGAAAATACATTGAAGACAGCATCAAACTGCGTCACAAGACAAGCCCTCACGTGGAATCCTTACTGCAAAAGGAAAAGAGGAATACTAAAGACCATATTGGGCAGAAGTACATATTTAACAGGCGTAATTAGACACGATGTCAGTAGTCGGATAAAGTTACAAAGGGTCTTGACTACCACAGCACCTTAATGTCATTTTTAACTGAGGCAGTAAATTAATGAAGATATTCTTGATCGGGCCGTCCTAACCAAGATAAAAGAAATGTTTTGAATTAGGTTAATGACTATTATAATCCAAACCTTGTTGCAAATAAATGTGCTTTGTGGGTTGCTACGGTATTCGTTAATAGGAATTCGAGATTTAAGGTTTACAAAGCTAATTAAAATGTATTCAAGTATACTTTAGTCACACACTAGCTAAACTTATTTAATGAGTGTACATAAACTGGATTACGAGCCTATTTAACTCATAAATGACATGACCACATAATGTTCTATGGAAAATAACAATTATCATTTTACAAACTGGTGACCGTTACTTTAAGGGAATTGAAAACAAGAAATGCCGTAGTGACACATGACTTATACACAAATGAGACTTCTATGGTTAGCTGAAAAGTAATTCACTACTAAAAATTGTACACAGTAATTGGTGACTTTATGTAAAAAGTGAGCAGATACAGATTAGAAACAAAACGTAGATGAAATACACGTTTTCAGTGGAACAGTTTTCTGTGATTAGTAACTCAAGTAGAATGTATATATGACATAATTGCTAAAGCTTCAGCGCTAAATACTTAAATCTATTAGAGGATAAATGAATCCAAGCTGAAGACAGTAAAGAAAAGAGGCGTCAACAATATAAATTCAAATAACAACCTATTACAGCCTTATCTCTTGAAAGAGAAACTTATAGACAATATTCAGTCATTCAGGAACAATCCAGAACTTCGTACGTTCATAAATCAGTTCAGGTTATCATACCACGATAGCACAGAGATGCAATCGTCGATTCGAATCCCATAATGATAGAGGTAATAGATGTATGAGCAGTAATCGGAAAGATTAAGGTTTGAAGATGTTATTCAAGGAGTATAATCTAGTGAAATAAATTTGAGAAGAGAAAGATCAAATCCCGTAGTAGCAGAAATAATAGAAACATTGGTTGCAATCATAAAGATTAGTGATCAAAGATGTCGTTCGACAAGTATGGCACCATACTCAATGCTCTTATAGATTTTCACGCATAATAAAGCCTACACAAGGAGTAAAAATAATTGTTGATTTAATAATCTATTAGATAATTAGACAGCTAACAGAACTAACCTTCGCATTTCATGTTCGTAAGCTTCCAAACTAGCCTTGTCAAGATCAGGTGGTGGGCGAGGATAATGCATTCGAAAGGCATCAGCACTAATTCCAAAAGCATTTATTTTCCTATTTATATCATATTCCCGACGAGAATCCGACCTCCCAAGAACCGAATACGCCTCGCTTACTTCAGCAAAAAGTATCTTTGCTTTATCATCCAAACACCTATCAGGGTGATACTAATAAACTAATGATGAACTAAAAGTATTGAGAACCTTTTTAGATAGATATACGTAGGCAGCTTTAATTTCTTCTGGGGATGCTGTACTTTTAACATTCAGGATATCGTAGTAATCTTTAACTTCTGTAGACGTGCTAAAATACTTGGAGATCCAGCGAAATGTGTGAATCAATTTCCTAGACTTATCAGAAGTGGCTGGAAACATATGACCGATCATAATTTCCTAAGAAGAGAAAACATTTGTTGAGTTACTTAGAATATAGTCTGCAATATCGTGTTAATAATAGTTTGAAAGCAGAAGAAAAGCAGTTTAACAGTTATAATTGTAATTGCTAAAGTTTGCATACAATTTTAACGCAGTTGGGTTCTCTGAGCTGGACGGTTTGATCGTGAAGTTGCAACTGTCTTCTTAGAAGATATTATTAACACACACAAATTAGTCCAGTGATAACAACTCATAATTAAAAAACACGGTCAACAGCTAATTTTGAGTTTCGCATGATGGTGACTAAATTTTAGGATTAGAACGATAGATTAAGCCATATACACAGAAATGTGAATTATAAAACAGTAACCAAAGCATTTATGTGGTGCGCAGGTGCACGTTTAATGCTAACGCAGTTATTATTCATAAGTATCATCAAGAAATTTGGTATTAATACTTTACAAAAGGAAACCCTCTATACATCAATGTGCTCATTTATACTAATCCACAAAATAGTTGCTTTTATATCTCGGCCAGAAGGCCTAAAACTTTGTGCAAATTTAGTATACAAATGCGTCAGAGGAAATACAGTTCTTTGATCTGATTCCGATTCTCAGCAAACAACTAGCCGAGCGAATCAAGGAGAGGGTGGAAAATGCCCTAATCGATGTCTGGAGGTCAACGAAACTAATCGCAGTAAAAAGCTTGGGGTAAGAAGTAGTGTTTATCAAAATGTATAAAGACAACGGGTGTGATTGCTACTTTACGAATAACGAATCGAAACATGAACCAGTAGCGACTGAAAATTAGGCAGCTAAAGATCAGTTAAACTGTTCTGCAAGTTGTGTTGATAGTTAATGCTTTGATAGTTGATAAACAACGTCGTTTAGCTATAAAGCCATTAAACACCATTGCGTCTCTCAGTTCAACAACTGAATTAAAACTATATGACCATAAGGTATTCACCATGGGTATCTTTAACAAGACAAGAAGGAAAAATCTGCATGTCTGATAAATTTATTGGACCATTAAATTTCATACAGCCATGGTGATGTGGTTAGTGGATGATAAATCAGAAACTTTCATGCACTAAATGTGGCCATACATCATGAAACCTGAAGTGACTAGCTATCTCATACAACTTTGTGGTTCCCCGACCGAAGCTGCTACCTTGACGTGGTGGTCGGGCTTGCCTATCGTGATGACCCGACCGAGCTATATTGGCTGGAACTTATGTTCCTGAAGGTTCTACAACGCCAGGCAGGTCGATTGGAGAGCGATCAGACTAAAAGCAGTTACTCAAGGCCGTTATGCTGACTGCAGAGGGTTGTGACAACAGTAAGGTGTTTCCCTCGGACAACCAGCATCTGTAGCGATGCTGCCTTCTCACAAAGAAGGAAGGGTTAGAAAAGGTCGACCCTAGGAATGTCACACCTCACTTTACCTCACGGATTTCTGTCTCCGTCGGTAAGGGTGCCCACTAAAGGCTTTTAAGAGCGGAGCTAATACTCAAAAATCCTTTCGTAAAAAGACAGTGCGTGACCGGCTTCAAGCAGTTGTCCCTTGGGCTCCGCGGTCACACTCCCAGGTCTCTAAGACCGACACTAACACAACTCAGAGAACAGATAATAGCGACCGTCTGTTGCAAGTTTGCTCAGATAACCGCCTATTTCTAGCAAATACCAACTTCAGGCATAAGGAAAAGCGTCTTTTGACATGGCGACCTCCAAAGTCGTCACAAGGCTGGAACCAACTAGATCACATTGCCAACAGCCACCGATGGAGAGGTTCGATAGAAGACTGCCGCTCGTTCTGGGGCACATGTCTAGATTCCGATCATGCTCTAGTGCGAGCGCGTATTTGTTTGAGGCTTACTGTACGTAGGAAAGACACTGCAAGAAAACCTCTCAGGGTTCTACTTAGTGATAATAAAGCTATGAATATATTTCAGGAACAACTAGAAAAACAGTTTGGCGACCATGTAAGCGATTCCCATCCGGAGGCAGCTTGGAATGATATCAAAAAGGCTGTGGAAACAGCAGTGACATGTGCTAGTAAGGTAAACCATATGTCTAGAAGAAGCCGTGGATCTCAGTATCATCTACCGAACTGATAGATGCTCGAAAACGTATCCCACCTAGCTCTGCACATGATGAAGAGCGAAATCAGCTTAATCTCAGGCTGATAAAATGCCTACGCAATGATCGCGAACAGTGGTGGGTAACGGAAACGAGAGAGATAGAAAAGGCAGTGGCGATGGGCAACAGTAGACAACTTTTCCGCCTTATAAAGGAAATCGATATTAGAAATCCATCTGTAAGCGAAACTATCTCAGAAAAGGATGGTCTTATTATCCATTCTCAATCCAGGAGACTGGATCGATGGGCAGAACACTTTAGGGACCAGTTCCACTGGCCTTCAGCCACACTTCGGTTACCCACGATCTCCAGTCATCCTGAATGGCGAATTGACTTAAGTCCCCCGACTCTTTATGAAGTTGAGAAAGCGATAGGAAATCTAAAGCGAGGGAGAGCAGCAGGACCTGATAGATTGGCCAGAGATTTTGAAGCATGGTGGTCCAGACCACCTCAGAAATGCAGGTTTCACAGAAAAATGCGAAGTTAAGTGATTTCTGCCTAATCATTAGGCAAACTAATATCTTGGTTTTTATTTTCATCTCTCACAGAAAAAAGAACTGGCGAAATTGGTTTATATAACAACGAAAGGTTATTCCCACATGTGATAAACTTCAAGAGCGTCGTTAAAAAGATGAAGTGTAAGCTATGACTTTTAATAATCTTTCATCGCTGTTCTATAGATGCAGTGTTCAGTGTTAACGAACGTTACTGTAAGTCTCACTTTGTTACCAGCTGTTGGCAAAAAATGGAAGTTTAACGTAACTGCAAATATTTATTACTAAATTCCAGGATTTATTGATGTTACATCAATTTGAAATAGTAACCCTGAAGTCCCAGTGGGACGATATTTTTTAAATTCTTTATTTTAACCACAAATTTTGAATATAACTGTTCATTTACATGTGCAACGTCGAGAAAAATAAGTATGTAATAAAGCATGTCTTACTTCAAATTGAGTTGACATATAAGACACATCCTTGATTATTAACTTAACACTTGCCAGCTGTAACATACTTTGCTGATGCTCATCAATAAGAGTGGGAAATTGCAATTATGGTAGAAATTTGTGATAATCAACCGTAAATCTATTTCTTTGTTAACCATTATTATATATCTTGTAGGCAAATGTTTCCAACCATGTGTAATTTTTTAAATTCATTCGACTGTTTAAGCGTTTGGTTTGTGGAAGTGTAAATATTGGAAACATTTTGGGCAAGGGCACATAGTTTGGCATGTACTGCGTAAATTGAGGCAAGTAAAAAACGGTGTAAATCGAAAATTTCAAACCAACAGCGGCGAGATGAAATTTCACATTGTTTCCCAACGATGGACGACAAAGGCAACTTTTTAGTGTTTCCTTATTTAGTTTCCAGAAGAATCTCTTTTATTTCCGCTAGCGGAAACACGGTTATGCTTGCCTTTGCCCACCTTTACTGCCATGCTTGGGTAAGTTAAGTTTTCGTAGAAAATTCTACATGGTGAGTACAAACAGACTTTATTCAAACCAATGACTGAAGTCATCGTTCAAACGATAACAGATATTGTCAATACACTAACAACTAATCTGCTGGAAAATATAACCGATCTCTCAACCTCCAAACCAATGAAATCTCGCTTTAGAATATTAGATATAACCGTGACTAATAAATCGTGGATAGTCGGCCATTGATAAAACTTACTTTCAGTAGTTTAATAAGACTCAGAAAGGGGCTGTATTGCCTGTCCTTTGAGTAGGTTACGTCCAACCTGATAGTACCTGGAGTGATGGGAGGGGTGTTATGAGTAGTGGGTGAGATTACCTGGAAGAGAAAAGAAGAAGAAAAAACGTTAGTCAAAAATTCAGTAAACGTACAAAATGTACCTACATTTAATATATAAGGGAATCGAGAATAACTAGAAATAACATAAGGAGGAGATTAAAACAACCTGCAATCGTAACAAGAAGTTGGTAAGGCAAAATTGAGAATAAGTTACATGGAAGTAATTTCCACACTGATCGAGTATCCAATATCTTTTACATGAGCTAGTATAAACCGACTGATTTCTTCGCAGTCGTTTCTTGTGTTTCGGTAGGGTTCTATGTAATTGATAAATGTTCAATAAGTGATAGTCTGTACACTCGACAGCAGTAATTCTAGTCAGTTGATAATTAATAGTGAATTTTTTTGTCCTGTAATTTTAATGGGTGCATTTATCTCAGTCTAGTGGGATTTATGGAGACCAGCAGCTAACAGATTTCAGCTAGCAGAACATATTGGCTGCAATATGTAGATTAATAATGAGAAAATTTTACTTTTAAGGAGAATGAATAATATAAGTTATTCAAATGGTAGAACAGATAGTATGAAATAACGTATGTGTAAGGAAAGAAAGGAAAACACTTAGGACGTTACCGCGATGGACGTCGCGTTGATCATTTGCGTTAAAGTGACTTTGACTACATATATTTTGAAAGCCATTATCATCCCACCTCTTATTATTCTATAAATCGGAAAGAATAGTTGTTCTCAATCCAAAATGTTCATGTCCCTTTTAAAGAGAGGGGGTGGGTTAGCATAGTAGACCCCACGACAGAGCCTACCACATGTTTTAAAAAGAGTTGATGACAACTGCGAAAGGTTTTCTTCGCATAAAATGAATGGTTACAGTTGTCTTCGTTATAACCCTTATGTAGTTTGAACTGATGTTCAGGCTCTCTGTTGTCAACAGAACGAGAACACGCTTTAATGAGACTTTCAAGAGCATACTTCCGTGGTGGACGTAAATTGTTTGTGTCACATAGAACAAAATACTAGTGACATGATATTTCAACTGGCTAGATTTCAATCTGCTGTCTGCTACCCCTATCTCGATTGTTGTAAGGTCCTTCCGGGGTTCAAAAGAATCCTCCTCGCTTCTAATGAACTTCCAGATCCTTGCAATATCTTCATAGGTTAATGCTGCTGATCTAATTTCATCTAACGATTTATTAATTAATATCAGGAAGAGGAGTAGACTTATGATGGTCTTCCGTGAAACTCCAGATGTTGAGACTTGTCAGTTCGCATACATTCTATTTACCTTGGCACTAAACTTTCTGTTCTCTAGGTAGTTTCTCAGCCAAGATGGAAGCGGAATAGTCACACTCATGTTCTCAACCTTCGATTACCAGATTTCATGCTGTAGTGTTTTGAAAGCCCTTGCGTAGTGAAGGTATGTTGCATGGACCGGTCGCTTTTGCATGTTCTCATACAGTCCCATGCTATGGGAGGATAGGATGCACAGTATCTGCTTTCCCTGGGCTTCATGGAAGGTGTTGCTTTATCCATGTACTCCCTAAGTTGTTCACCTACAGTGTTTCAAAAGCTTCGACAGCACTGATAGTAATGAGACTCGTTTATGGCATGGTGGATCTTTCCTATCTCTTTTGGAGGTCGTAGCTTGTTTCTGTTGTGCTAGGAGTCCTGCAGTGTGAATCTACCGGGTGCCTTTACAGGCCACGAACCACCGGAACTTCTGTACACTATTGTAGGGTTATAAGGTGGATCTTGTCACATCCTGAAGAGTTTCCTGCACGCATGGACTTGAGTTTTCCCAGCTGTAAGAAGGTAGTAACTCGGATATTCCTCAAATCATCGTCTGCAATTAAGATTGAGTGGCATTCATCCCTGAAGTCAAACGGAGAAATTGATGATACTAACACATTTTATCCTCAAGTTACAATGCCTTATATGAGGTATACCAGTTTACGTGCAAGATCAACTTGTTGCAAATGTTAGAAAATTTCCTATGTTGTGTTCGGCAATTGGACTGATATTTTAAGAGAACTAATGGTCAGTACCATGTTCTTCAATTTTCGGGCTTCTTGAGTAGTGAATACCCAGATCGTGCGCTGTAAGGGGTATCTCAAGGTTATATTTTTGACAAAAAAAATGATCCCATATTTTTGGGGTTGAATGGCTAAATGCTTTGATCTTGATAGGTAGGTTGTCAATGTCCCTTGGCATCTGTGTGATACTTACATTCAAATAATCATGAATACTTTCATATCTGGGTTGATTTGTAAGATAACGTAGGAAGTGGGATCTATTTTCAACCAGTATGTGTTTTCCATTCATGTTTGAGGGAATTTAGACTTGACGTAGTGTACCAAGCTGAATGAACAGACTGCATAGAGATCAGGTTGTCGAGACACAGAGCATTTTCGGACTTGTGATTCGGGAATAAAACCGGAGGAAATAAATAGGTTCCTTTTTAAGTGAATCCGAAACACGGCCGTTATCACTTCAGACGTTGATTCGATGAATTTTAGCTTATTTTAAGAACGTTTTTCGACATTTCCTTTCAATAATTAATGCTGACCACTAATTCAACCTTCATCGCCTGAAAATATCCATTTTTGTTGTAGATATGAACTAATAAGTTTTAACATCATTACTTCAAGCGGTCAAGTTCACAACTTTATCCCTTCTTTCACTGTGTTCGTTAGGACTCAAGGGTCTCAGATTTATTTGTGAATTTTCTAAAGAGACCAAGCAGTTACAATTTAAACAAAATTCATTAACGTCCTGTATACTTTTACGAAGAAAACACAATTGCTGAAATATAAACATTTATTATTGTACACCTCTTGTTTATTGGTACTAAACACTATCTCTCGCACGCCAAGCGTGTTATTTCGATTCTCCTCCTTGCACGTCTCCTGCGTGGATGTTAGCCGTTTGTACTCCCTCTTGCCTCGATATTATTTCGACACCACCAGTCTAGTGTCAGATATACTTCTTCATCTAAAATCGCCTTCCTATTCGATTCTTAGAGTTTCGGGATTAACATTTGTTATCCCGGGAAGAAATATATCATACGAATTGCTATAGTCCCAATGAAGAACCAATACAAGGTGCCGATATGACAGATTATTTCATACAAACAGCAAGATGCAACATATAATGACAATGCCTAAGTGACCGTATCAGAACGTACTGATCATGTGTTCATGAGCTCATCTTTATTGACATTTTACAAGTTTTCGACAGCCGATGTTCCCCTTTTCAATTATTATATGTTCGGTTTAAGAAATAATATGGTAGCAAACCAATAACATTATAGGTCTACTGTAAGCTTAGAATGGAATAACCCGAAAAATACGACAATACGGTTGCCCGCTTATTATGCAATCCAAGTAGAGATAAGAATCATGAGAAAAATAGTCTGGCAAATTCCAAATCTCCCTTATAACACTCTGCCTTCATTCGGGAACACCTAATGACGCTAGCGATTCGTCAGTAGTAGATACAGGATATTAACAAACTCCTCACAGATTGTTAAGGACAATATGATACCAACAAATTTTTCACTTCACTGGTATGGATTCTGTGAGGACCGGTACTACGTCTATTCGCTGAGTGCTGTGAACATATGGATCACCGTGCTCGACTGCAAGTACAAGATAGAGTTAGTATGCTGCGGTTTCTTAAAAGGCCTTGGTAGAGTAAATTTCATATATTTATCTGTTGGCTCAGGCCGATAGGTGTCAAGTTATCACTGATAGACTAGCTACAATCAGGATACATAATGGAACCGTTGTGTTCAGGGTATACACTACAAACACCTTCCATTCAAGTCCTGAAATTTTTCCCAGTCGAGGCGATCAGAGCAACTCTAGGATCCTTCTAGAGGGAACACGAAATATTATTAAGTCTAAGAACAGTATTTTGATGTAACACGCGTTTGCAGTAGTCACCGAACAGCGGGTCCGATCTAAAATCACAAAACACAGAGTTATCTCAACACTTCACACCAAGAGAGAGAACAAGAAGTCGTCGCCAAGGCAATCTTTATTTTTAAAATTAAACACGTGGGGTTTCTACAGAAAAAGTGTGGGCGGTGTGCCAAGGTATAGTGTGGGCGGTTTGCCAAGGTCTTATGAGTCCTCCTGTAAGCTCAGAGCATTCAGGGCTTGTTCTTCTGTTTCCAAAGGGTTAGTGTTTGATCGCCCTGAAATAGAAAGAAAACAGGATGGATTAGCAACATCTACATAGTGATTTTGACTCCGTCACATTGAGCTGATTTATTAAAACCACCCATACACACTTTTGTTTCATAAGCCTAGACTCCTCAATTTAGTTATCGGTAATTTATTGGTACCAATCATATAGAATCATTTAGTGAGAGCATATAATCCTTTCAAAACGATTTGATCCATTTGAACAGTTTGTGGGGGATTTATGAAAATAGTCGTTACCGTGAAGGGTTTGTGCTAATGGCTGATAAGAAGAAAATTTACAGGTCCATTGCGAACTTTTTCGACAGTGAGATAAAATCTAGCGCTTACTCTTCTGAAGTAACTGAAGGCCTTGAAGGTAACCACACATGCACTAATCTCGTGACTTGAAACCTGTTATTTTTTCACATTGCTTTTTCATAGATAAGGCATCATCACAAGGTGTTGATTAGTAAAACTAGAAAGATTAGTCCCAAATTCAGCAAGATCAGTAAATAAAGAATAACTGGTGGTACGGTCCGTAGTAAGGCGGCTGTGTCAACGAATGCTAAAAAGGAACAGATGATAATCACAACTGTCCCATACCCCGGGGTTGTTTTCACCTGTTATTTAAGTCGTAACCACCGTGAGAAAACCACAATCTTATGAATGAGAATAAAAGCCCCACTGTGGTGAAATTGCACCAGAAGTCATAAAGGGAGATGTTTCAGGTTGATAAGATATTTGTTAGGATTTAAAGGTTCAAGATTGTTCCATTTAACTATTTTAGGTCATCAGTCCTTTCAGTTTATGAAGAATGTGAGAAAGTGGTCCTGGTTACCATGGTTTTTATCACTCGGACTTCAAAAACCGTGCTGCTTGTAGTTAGGACCCAGTGCTAAAAATTTATTTAAAGGCACTCATATTATGGATTTATTAATTGACTTCAAAACTCATTATATGTAAGTTCTCTTAATATCCATCATGTTCTTAGGGCCAAGCAAGTGCAATAATGTTTGAACCTACAGCTTAGCTGTTTAAATGTAAATTTAGATCTCTAAGTCACGATTCATCCATGACGACGTCACCTAATTACGTTACTGACTGTTAATTAGTTTCAATAAATCGATTAAGTTCATATATCGTGTTACAAACGAAAACCGGAGATAAAGAAATCCACAGACTACATTTTTTATAGAATATGAATACGTTGAGTTCCCCTTGAATCATGTTTTCTGATTAGTGTTTTCTAGCGAGTTGGTTTTTTTTGTGGGATGGGGTCGCGAACGTCATGCCCAAACCTCGTTATTCGGTTTTGGCACCGGCAGTAGCTCCAAAGGGGCTCCGGGCTGAGTTATAAGTTGGGTTACTTACAAACTTGTCAGGATTGATCACTGAGATCCTGACTGCAATATTCGCACTTACCGGGACACCGAAAGCATGTTCTTTTACGTAAATTAATTTTGTTCAATAACTTGCTGGTGTACTCATAATTTATGTTTGCTTTTCTGAAAGACCTTACCCGTTCAGATGAATTTTGTTTTAGTCGCAAAACAGTGCATAGAAACAGCTTTTCATATATCTGATAATGAAGTTGGTGAAGTTCCCGATTTACAAAAATTCTTCGAATCCCAGCCCCAAGTAATTATTTGCTTTCTAAGTCATCGTCACAGAAAAAACCAAATATTCCGAAGAGTGAACCTTCAGAAGAAGTCAAATCGATGGCGGAAGCATTAAAAAATCAAGGTATGACTGTTTTCTTTTTTTCAGCTGTCCTTATAGGTAACCAGTGCATGAAACAAGAGAAGTTTGTGGAAGCTGTCGCCTGCTACAGCAAAGCTATCGAACTATCCCCGTACAATGCAGTTTTCTACTGTAACAGGTATTCTTTTGTAGTATGCTACTACAGGAGTATTTATTTTATTTTATTTATTTATTTATTTGAATATATATTGGTAAAAATCGGGTACCTTAATATTTATGTACAACGCAAATTGCCTACTTTATAAGTGGGTTGGATGTTGCCTGGACTCCTAGACCTAAACAGGTAATTTCTTTGATCCAGCAGTTTAATCCACAAGGCAATTGAGCAACGTAAGCAGATGCCATCCCACGGTAACTGGTGACCAACCGTAGGTTTATAGGCTATTCATTCCGACAGGATCATGGAGCCCTTTTTAACCATTTGAGTGAAGGTCTTCTAACTCCACTAGGTAGATCCTCGATACTCATCAATCCGGGTACATCGCCGGACACTCACTTTTCATCCTCTCATTTCTGTAACTAACAATCAATTAATCAGTCAGCTACAACATAGAGCTTCCTACGTACGTACATCAGTTCAGGTTACCATACCACATTAGCATAGAGATGCAATTGTCGATGCAAATCCCATAGTAGTAGAGGTAGTGCAAGTATTAGCAGTCATCGAAGAGATTAGGGTTTGAGGATATTATTCAAGAAGTAGAATCCAGTGGAATAAACTTAAAAAAATATGAAGTTGATGAGGAATTCAGAAGGTTATGTTTTGACAGAACACAAAAATTGGATGCACCCGCGCCATTGCAGACCGTTTTGAACCATGTCATTCGAGATCTTTAACCATCGGTGACTTTCGTCTCGCGGACTCCAACCAGGTAGCCTACATCTACCAACATGACAGTCCACTTGTCAGTGACTTCATGGATTTCTGCCATGTCTTGATCTGGCCGCCCCTAGCTTTCATCCAACCTATTCCTATATCGCAAAACAGCTCGACGAGACGGTTGATGGTTGCTCATTCTTAACACATGTCCCAACCACCTCAACTAATCAATTTTCAATATTTCATCTATTGATCTGCCATCCTTACCTAGTACTCGTTTCCTAACTACAGCATCGCTTACTCGGCTGTCCCAGGATACACGAGCAATGCTTCTAAGACATCTGTAATCGAATAATAATAACCTGCTGATGTCCTCTACTCTTACTGGCTATGCTTCGCATCCATATATTAGGACCGAGCAAACTGCTGAGCATTAGACTCGTCCTTTGGCTAGCAAACGGATATCTCGCCTGCGCCATAGGTGACGCAAGTTGGCAAAAGCCAGTCAAGCTTTCTGTATCCGTGCTGAGATTCCGTTGCACACCAGGTCTTAAACCAGCCTGGTTTTCTCTAGTCTGCTCTTCACGAGCTCTGGTTGCCCGTCTAAGTATAATCGAGGCTAACAATTTAGAAACTATATTAATTATACTGATTCCTCTGTGATTGTCACAAGAAGACTTTAGTCCTTTATTATAACTTGGGACAATCGGGATTGGGACTAGTCGGGCGGGATTAGGTACAGCTCCTAGATTCTACCTAAGATTTCAGTCAATCTAGCTGCTAAAACTGGACCACCACCTTTAAAAATCTCAGGGATCAATCTTGTAACTAACACATCACTAGATCAGTCAGCTACAACGCAGAACTTCGTACGTACATCAGTTCAAGTTGCCATACCACAACACAGAGAGATCGATTTGTAATTTCAGATCCCATAGTGGTAGAGGTAATAGGATTATTAGCGGTAATGGAGAAGATTAGGGTTCGAAGGTATTATTCAAGAAGTATAATCTAGTAAAATAAACTCAAAAGGTGATGAGGAACCCCAAAGGTTAGGATTTGAGAGAAGCCAAAGAATAGATGCACCTGCGCCATTGCAAACGCTTTTGAGCCATGCTACTCAGGGTCTCTAACCATCGATTACTATCATCTTGCGGGCCCCAACCAGCTAGTCTACACATGCCAACATAGCTCAGTCCACTTTTCAGTGACTTCATGGATTTCTGCCATGTTTTGGTATGGGTGACCCTAGGTTTCTTCCAACCTATTCCTACACCACGAAACAGCTCGACGAGGCAGTCGGTGGTCGGGCATACGTAACACATGTCTCAACTGATGAAGCTTCACTACTCCATCTGTTGACTTGCTATCCCTACCTAGTGCTAGTCTCCTAACGATAGCATTGCTTACTCGGTTATCCCAGTGAAAGACCTGAAAAAGGAACTGGATTAGAGGTGATCTTAATGACGGGAGAACCCGAGAGACAAATGCTTGGGATCAGTCACACACAACCTTAATATGGCAATTTTCTACGTGCTAACTCCGAACCTTAAAGGACGTTACTGATGGAGATGAAAATCAGTGAGGTAAGGTGAGATGTGACATTTTAAGTGCCGTCATTTTCTAAACCCTCCTTTTCTTTTTGAAAAGGCGGCATCGCTGCGGGTGATAGTTTATTTGAAAGAAACACCTGTTATCGTACCATTCTACATTCAGCAATATCACTTCGCCTTCAGACCTTAGAAGAACTTCGCACATATGTACATAAGTTCATGTTTCCATACCACATTAGCACAGACGCAAATGTCAAATCAAATCCCATAGTCATAAAGATAGTAGAGGTATTAATGGTAATGAACAAGACTAGGGTTTGAAGATATTATTCAAGAAATATAATTCAGTGAGATAAGGTTAGAAAGACAAAGGTAGAGGTGCTGACGAATCCAGAAGATTAGGACTTGAGAGAGCACAACGAATGGATGCACTTGCGTCATTGCAAATGCTTTTGAGCCATGCTACTCAGGGTCTCTAACCATCGATTACTATCATCTTGCGGGCCCCAACCAGCTAGTCTACACATTCCAACATAGCCCAGTCGACTTGTCATTGACTTCACCTGAAGCAAAATTTTGCATTTTGAGGGGAAGAATCACATCCCGAAAATGCTCTCATTGTTACTTAATGTAGTAACTAGCACTTGCCATAAGAAGGCAGAGTGGTGCTTCCCTCGTAATGGCTTTATACGCAAGGTCATAGAAGAGCATATTGAGAAACAGAAAAAGAGCGGACTCTCTACTGTACCAGGGCATTTAGGGGCTAAAATGTAGTGTTGTTGTTACTTGAAATGACTTTCATACCGCCGAGACTGATCAGACGATTTGCATTTTTGAGGGAATGATACGTCATATTTTTATACTTCATTATGCGTGTTAAAAACGTCTTTTGAGATAAACATAAACCGCTCTACTGGTTTTCCACAACCGAACCGGTGTTTTTGATAGCCTTTAATCGTCGAATTTTGTAAAGATTGGTTTAGAATTCCGGTATCAGATAACTTATTGAAAAGTCCATTTCCGCTATCTGCTTTTTTGCAACCTGATATCTTCATAAAAAGTCTAATAAATCCCTTTGGTGTGGTTCATTCCATGGAGGGTATAAAATTATCGTACACCTTGGTATTTTTTGGAATATAACCAATTGTCCAATATCTTTTTAAATCTCATTTTCTTAAGGAATTAGCTGATTAATAAAGCGAATTATTATTACTAATCTTCATGTAGTCTCACCCTTTTATTACCTTAAAAATTCTGTTACTTTTTTTTTCAATCTGAAGAGCTGCCGCTCACTCTCGGTTAGACCAGTATCAAGATGCAATTAATGACTGCTTGAAAGCTTTGGAAATCGACCCATATTACAGCAAAGCATATGGTCGAATGGGGTAAGTGTTAGAAATTCGAACATTTTTTTCTTTTCCAATTTATCTTGTTGTTGGTAATTATTATTTCATCGAACCTCTTGATATATTTTTATAAATGCATATGTCATAGAAGCGTCTTGAGAGCTTTCACAAAGTTTATCAGTATAGTCATTGAATATTGTTGGTATATTTATCGAATTTCATTCAAGGTTTATTTATATTGTTTCCTTGGGTACTATTTTTTATGTTCTCTACTTGAGTAACGCCAAACCACTGTACAAATGACAACACCGAACGTTAGACTCCCACCGTTCAAAAAATAGGAAGACGGAAGACGTTGGAGAACACTTACTAACGGAATCAAAAATATACAATCAAACATGCGTATTTATACAATTATATAAATAATCGATAATGTCGTTAAAATATTTGAACATTGATCAAGTAGTTCATCAATCGACTTCCCTTGAAATATTTAAGCATTTAATCGATAAGTTCGTCAATCTACTATGTGCGTGGGCGGCTTCTCGATGGCACCCACGGTGTGGGCAACCGGGAAGTGACAACCGCTTTCATACCTGTAACAGCACACGAAACCAAATGGGTCAAAATCAAATCCTTCCTACACCCCCTGATACCTCTCTTACCTCCACGAATAACTCTTCCCACATTCATTTGTCACAGTGCACAGCTAATGCAAACGATGCGAGTTCACGAAACGTCATTTCTGGTCTCCTGAAATCCCGCTCTACACTACATGTTGGAGCATTTAATGTACGGACATTGTGTCAAATAGGGCAACAGGCATCATTATCTAGGACTTTAGAATCTCGCGCCATCGATGTGTCCTGCGTCTCGGAAACGCTCATACAGGATCCGAGTAGCATCATTCACTTGACCTCACCATGTCCAGATAAAGAAGCAACTCGATTTACCTTTCGTGTATCCATCTCTACTCACCACTGTCCGCGATCATCGTGTAGGCTTTTTATCATCCTGCGCGTAAGCTGACTCTGCTGCTGGCTCCAGACACGATAACAAGTAAAGATAACTTAAACTCAGGTTGATAAAAGGCCTATGCAATGATCGTGAGCACTAGTGGGTAACGAAAATGAAAGACAAGTCAACGACAATAGGTAACAGCAGGCAACTGTTAAGACTTTTCAAAGAAACAGAGGTTGGTGAGAATAAAAGATAAAATTATTATTCACCCTGAATCCAGAAGATTAGGGTGACAGGCAAGACATCTGGCCTTATGCTATCATTCATTTTAACTGCACTTTGACAAACATTGGATTACTTGTTCTATGTATGTTACATGAGTTAAGTGCCATTTCCGTATTTCCAGGATAATGTAATTACCAGCTGTTTTAGCAGTTTTTACTTGGCAATAGAGTTCAATCTTTGAAATATTATTTTGTATATACTAGATAATTTTATATATCTTCGTTCTTGTAGTATCGCATATTCTAGCATTGGTAACCACGCTAAGGCTGTTGAGTGTTATCGGAAAGGGTTAGAGCTTGACCCGAATAACGAGAATTGTCAACAAAATCTTTCAATTGCAGAAGAAAAGTTAAAGAATTCATCAGATACTTCTCAGAGTTCAGGATTATTTGGTGGTTTTGACCTAAATTCGATTTTAAATAATCCAATGATGCAGAATATGGCTCGCCAATTCATGAATGACCCAAATGCTCAAAATATGTAAGTCTACTTAATGTTTCAAATCAATCCCCTACATTTCTATTTATGCTTGGTAAAGATTTATGCATATGATTGTGAGAAAAAATCTTAGAAATAGGACCATCAGGATTTAAGTAGTCTACATGACAGATTTGTCATATCCATTATAAACCAAAATTACCGTACGTGAAGTATGATTTACATGGCAATCAGTGTCACTCCTAAACGTTCGAAATACCTACTACATGTCATTTAGATCATCTTACAGATTATTACTAATAATGATCTTTTTAACTAAGTCAAATTTAGCCATATTACACAGGCACTAGTTACCATATGTTTCATATGCTTAGTCCATAAATATTTACAAGCAAATGCGATGTGGTAAATTTAAATAATTCGTTTTTGTAAATGAGAACACTCAGTTACATCAATGATAATCTCATCCACAGGAGCTTAACATTCAACTTCGATGCAGACCTAATCACAAATAAGTTTAGTGAAGAATTGCAACAGGCTTCCTTAGCTAGGACTTTAGAATCTCGCGCCATCGATGTGTGCTGCGTCTCGGGAACGCGCACACAGGATCCTAGTAAAATTATTAATCTGATTTCACCTTGTCAAAATAAAGGAGCAGCTTGATTTACTCTTCGTGTATCCGGTAGCCCTGATGCTGCTTCTCGGGGTCTCGCTGGTGTAGGTATAGCATTGAGTCGGAGGACAGAACTATCTCTCCTAGACTGGATCCCAGTAGATAGTCGTTTGTGCGCCGTCCGACTAAACGGGACAGTGAGGACTCGAAAAGATAGGGATACTCGCCGCTGCCTCTTCATCACATCTGCCTACCCGACCGAAGCTGCTACCTTGACGTGGTGGTCAGGCTTGCCTATCGTGATGACCCAACCGAGCTATACTGGCTGGAACACATGTTCCTGCAGGTCCTACCATGCCAGGCAGGTCGATTGGAGAACGATGAGACTAAAAGCAGCTACCCAAGGTCTGAGGGCGAAGTCGTACTGCTGACTGCAGAGGGGTGTGACAGCAGTAAGGTGTTTCCCTCGGACAACCAGCATGTGCAGCGATGCTGCCTTCTCACAAGGAAGGAAGGGTTAGAAAAGGTCGACCCTAAAAATGTCACACCTCCCCTACCTCACGGATTTCCGTCTCCTTGGGTAAGGGTGCCCACTAAGGGCCTTTAAGAACGGAGCTAATCCTCTAAATACCTCTCATAAAAAGGCCGTGCGTGACCGGCCTCAAGCAGTTGTCCCTTGGACTCTGCGGTCACGCACCAACACTAATCCATCTTCCTTTTCAGGTTCGTCAAGAAACAACCTTCCACGGTGTGGGCAGCCGGGAAGTGATAACCGCCCTCATACCCGCAACAGCACACGCGACAAAATTGTTCAAAATCAAATCCTTCCTACATTCCCTAATACCTCTCCTATCTCCACGACTAACTCTTCTCACATTCATTTATTACAGTGCACAGCTAATGCAAACGATGCGAGTTTGCGAAACGTCGTTCCTGGTCTCCTTAAACCCCGTTCCAAACTACATGTTGGAGCATTCAATGTACGGACATTGTGTCAAATAGGGCAACAGGCGTCATTAGCTAGGACTTTAGAATCTCGTTCCATCGATGTGTGCTGCGTCTCGGAAACGCGCATACAGGATCCGAGTAGCATCACTCATTTGACCTCACCATGTCAAGATAAAGAAGCAGCTCGATTTACCCTTCGTGTATCCGGTAGCCCTGATACTGCTTCTAGGGGCCTCGCCGGTGTAGGTATAGCATTGAGTCGTAGGGCAGAACAATCTCTGCTTGACTGGATCCCTGTAGATAGTCGCTTGTGCGCCGTCCGACTGAACGGGACAGTAAGGACTCGGAAAGATAGGGACACTCGCCGTTGCCTCTTCGTCATATCAGTCTACGCCCCCACTGACTGCAGCCCAGATGATGTAAAAGATGAGTTTTACAGAAAGCTTTCGGACCTCCTCCAAAAAGTTAAGCGCTCTGATATAGTTATAATGGCTGGTGACTTCAATGCACAAGTAGGTAGACTAAGTGAAAATGAAAGGGCCTCGCCACTACGATAGGTCCTGGAACACAGACACACATTTAGGCGTCCGACAATAGTCGTGTTCCTGGACCTTAAGGCGGCATTTGACTCTGTGGATCGTGAGGTTCTGTGGCAGTGTCTGTCATTGAAAGGTGTACCAAAGAAGTATATTAACCTTATACAAGCTCTTTACTCGAACACCGCTGGTCGAGTGAGAGCCTATGGCGAACTGTCATCTGAATGCCGTACATCAAGTGGTGTCCGTCAGGGCTTTCCACTCTCTCCATTCTTGTTTAACTTTGTCGTAGACATCCTCTTAGAGTTAACATTAAGCTCGTCAGATTTTTCAGGGGTTGACCTTCTACCAGGAAAATTGCTTACTGACCTAGAGTATGCCGATGACATACTTCTATTCAGTGAAGACGCTGACAAAATGCAGTCTTCCGACTACTATAAGCAACAATGCAAGCATGTTCAGAATGCGGTTCTCACTCTCGAAATTCAAAATGTTGCTTCAAGATTGGGTTGCATCGGCACCTGAACTAGTGATAGAGAGTGAAGTAGTCGAGTGTGTAGACCGCTTCACTTATCTGGGGAGTCTCATCAGCGCTGATAGCCTGATGACTGACGAAATCTCAGCACGGGTACGGAAAGCTCGATTTGCTTTTTCCAATCTGCGTCACTTATGGCGTAGGCGAGATATCCTTTTGCTGACCAAAGGACGAGTGCGCTGCGCAGTAGTTCGCTCCGTTCTCCTATATGGATGCGAAACATGGCCGTTAAGTGTAGATGTTCGTCGGTTATTGGTTTTCGATCATAGGTGTCTTCGAAGCATTGCTCGTATATCCTGGGACACCCGAGTGAGCAACGCTGTTATTAGGAATCGGGTGCTAGGTAAGAATGGCAGATCAATAGACGCAGTAGTGACACTTCGTCAGTTGAGGTGGTTGGGACATGTGTTACGAATGCCTAACCACCGAGTGCCTCGTCGAGCTTTGTTTTGTAGTGTATGAGTAGGTTGGAAGAAAGTTAGGGGCGGCCAGATCAAGACATGGCAGAAATCCATGAAGTCACTGACAAGTGGACTGTCATGTTGGTAGATTTAGGCTACCTTGTTGGGATCCGCGAGACGAAAGTCACCGATTGTTAGAGACCTTGAACGACATGGCTCAAAATCGTACGCAATGGTGCCGGTGCATTTTTGCTTTGTGTTCTCTCAAATCCTAATCTTCTGGTTTCGTCAGCACCTCTACCTTTGTCTTTCTAACCTTATCTCACTGAATTATATTTCTTGAATAATATCTTCTAATCCTAATCTCTCCGATTACTTCTAACACCTTTACTACCTCTACTACTATTGGATTTGAATTGACAATTACATCTCTGTGCTGATGTGGTATGGCAACATGAACTGATGTACTTACGTACGAAGTTCTACGTTGCAACTTACTGACTGACTGAGTTAGTGAAGAATTTTGGATGTATTTTTTTCAAGCGGTTTGTGACTGTTTGTCTTCAAATTCAGATAGTATATCTTATATAATATAAATCAGAACATTTTTAGTACTAAATATTACATATTCGGTACCGTTCCCTTTTCAATCAATTTAGGATGACTAATCTACTACGCAACACATTTGGAGTTTCTGACAATTCAGCTAGTAGAAATAATTCGACTAGTAATACTGAGACTAACAATTCCAGCGAATCAACAGAACCTAATCCACAAAATAATCCTGTTGGTGCTGGTACTGGTGCTGGTGCTGGTGGTCAAAGTATGGATGAATTTTTACGCCTGTAAGAAGTTTATTTTTTGTTGTTTTTTACCTATTCTGTATACTTCATTTTGATTATAAGTAAGAACCATCCTAAGTAATAGGTCATTATTTACGTACTGTATTGTTTTACTTGTTTCACATTAATGATGAGTTTTAAGTGATCATTTGATTAGTTTTATTCTTACCATTATCTTTTGACTGAGCCAAAGGAACCCTACTAACACTGTCAAAAAGTTTATGAATAAAAGAGTATCTAAACTTTAATTGTACCAACTGTTTTCTGCGCGCTTCGTATCAACGAAAAGATAGACGAACTTCTTGTTTAGAATAGATCCAGATCACGCGTCCCGTTTTCTTTGGGACACATCAACTGAGCGTGCCCACTTTCCATTGTTTATATTCAGCCTAGGACTCGAAGTCAAAAGCCGTTATGCACCAAGCTACTGGGTTCAAAAAACCGCTAAGTTGTTCAATAGGTATGATATTTCTGTGATCATTAGGAAAGGTTTGGTTTATCCTATTGCTAATATGAATGACTGAATTTTGATCATTCTTTAATTTCGAAAGTGTATCACTGAGCAAGCTTTGTCAGGTACTAGGAACTATTAAAATGCATCCAAGATGCATTGTTACGAAACGCTTTTAACATAGGCTGATTCATTTTTTTTGTTGTCTTGTTTATCTCATTTGCCCACAACTCCCACCATAGTTAATCACGTTTATAGTACTTAATTTTCGCTTTTATCTACACTTTAGAGTTGGTTTTTTAAGATGGTACTGATACACTTGAATGAACATAGACTAGTATATTATCCGTATCAAACCAGAGCAGTTTATCAAATGTAAAGTATGAAGTATGTGTTGATGTTATCGGGAAAGACGAACAGAGAAAGCAACTAATTAGTTAGTTATATGTGTGAATCTTCTATCACATTTTGATTCTGAATAAAATAGTTTTCTATTATTATACGATATTTTAGTGGCCAACAACTTGCTCAACAACTGCAAGCATCCAATCCGCAGCTTGTAAATCACTTACGTCAAACATTTCATACCAATGTTAGTGGACAAAATTCAAATCCGGAAAACAATACTGATCTCAATAATGATCAGAATAATACAAATTCCAAATAACGCTTTACATTTGGAATTATAACCGGTGTCTTATTTTGTTTTTTGTGTATGATAGTAACATTGAATTGGAATTTTAAAAAAGTTTGATTTCGGATATGATATTCCTTGTTTTGTTTCTTTTGTTTAGTAAACAAAATATGAATGACTGTGCTAACTATTTATCATTTTTCCTCTGTTATATGTGTAATGAAAATAGTTTTGTGCACATTATACTGTATTAGACTTTGTTTTTGTCTCTTCTGTATAATTGTATTATTATTTATAATTAAAGTAATTTTACGTATAATCAACAACCGTCGTGAATCATTCGAAAGTGACTAATTATGCCTAATATATTTGTAGAAAAGTTTTATCCTCAGTTTCAGTCAGATGCAACGTAGAACTCCGTACGTAAGTACATCAGTTCATGTTGCCATACCACATCAGCACAGAGATGTAATTGTCAATTCAAATCCAATAGTAGTAGAGGTAGTAAAGGTGTTAGAAGTAATCGGAGAGATTAGGATTAGAAGATATTATTCAAGAAATATAATTCAGTGAGATAAGGTTAGAAAGACAAAGGTAGAGGTGCTGACGAATCCAGAAGATTAGGATTTGAGAGAACACAAAGCAAAAATGCACCGGCACCATTGCAAAAGATTTTGAGCCATGTCGTTCAAGGTCTCTAACAATCGGTGACTTTCGTCTCGCGGATACCAACAAGGTAGCCTAAATCTACCAACATGACAGTCCACTTGTCAGTGACTTCATGGATTTCTGCCATGTCTTGATCTGGCCGCCCCTACCTTTCTTCCAACCTACTCCTACACTACAAAACAAAGCTCGACGAGGCACTCGGTGGTTAGGCATTCGTAACACATGTCCCAACCACCTCAACTGACGAAGTGTCACTACTGCGTCTATTGATCTGCCATTCTTACCTAGCACCCGATTCCTAATAACAGCGTTGCTCACTCGGGTGTCCCAGGATATACGAGCAATGCTTCGAAGACACCTATGATCGGAAACCAATAACCGACGAACATCTACACTTAACGGCCATGTTTCGCATCCATATAGGAGAACGGAGCGAACTACTGCGCAGCGCACTCGTCCTTTGGTCAGCAAAAGGATATCTCGCCTACGCCATAAGTAACGCAGATTGGAAAAAGCAAATCGAGCTTTCCGTACCCGTGCTGAGATTTCGTCAGTCATCAGGCTATCAGCGCTGATGAGACTCCCCAGATAAGTGAAGCGGTCTACACACTCGACTACTTCACTCTCTATCACTAGTTCAGGTGCCGATGCAACCCAATCTTGAAGCAACATTTTGAATTTCGAGAGTGAGAACCGCATTCTGAACATGCTTGCATTGTTGCTTATAGTAGTCGGAAGACTGCATTTTGTCAGCGTCTTCACTGAATAGAAGTATGTCATCGGCATACTCTAGGTCAGTAAGCAATTTTCCTGGTAGAAGGTCAACCCCTGAAAAATCTGACGAGCTTAATGTTAACTCTAAGAGGATGTCTACGACAAAGTTAAACAAGAATGGAGAGAGTGGACAGCCCTGACGGACACCACTTGATGTAGGGAATTCAGATGACATTTCGCCATAGGCTCTCACTCGACCAGTGGTGTTCGAGTAAAGAGCTTGCATAAGGTTAATGTACTTCTTTGGTACACCTTTCAATGACAGACACTGCCACAGAACCTCACGATCCACTGAGTCAAATGCCGTCTTAAGGTCTAGGAACACATCTACTATCGGACGTCTAAATGTGTGTCTGTGTCCCAAGACCTATCGTAGTGTGAAGATGTGGTCTATACAGCCACGTCCAGGTTTGAAACCAGCCTGGTTTTCTCTAGTCTGCTCTTCACGATCTCTAGTTAGACGTCTAAGTATAATCGAGGCTAACAATTTAGAAACTATATTAGTTAGACTTATTCCCCTGTGATTGTCACAGGAGGACTTCTGTCCTTTCTTGTAAATTGGGACAGTGATTGAGACCAGTCAGATGGGATTACGTCCAGTTCCTAGATTCTACCGAAGATCTCAGTCAACCTTGCTGCTAAAACTGGACCACCATCCTTAAACATCTCAGGGGTCAGTCTATCAGGACCTGCTGCTCTACATCGCTTTAAATTTCCTATAGCTTTCTCAACTTCATAAAAACTAGAAGGACTTAAGTCGATTTGCCATTCAGGATGACTGGAGATCGTGGGTAATGGAAGAGTGGCTCGAGGCCAGTTGAACTGGTCCCTAAAGTGTCCTACCCATCGGCCCAATTTCCTGGATTGAGAATGGATAATAAGACCATCCTGTTCCGAAACAGTTCCACTCACATTCGGGTTCCTAATACCGTTTTCCTTTATAAGTCGGAAAAGTTGTCTACTGTTGCCGATCGCCGCTGCCTTTCCCATCGCTTTTGCTTTTGCCACCCACCACTGTTCGCGGTCGTTACGTAGGCTTTTTATAAGTCTGCGCCTAAGTTGACTTCGTTCTTCATCAAGTTCAGAGCCAGGTGGGATGAGTTTTCGGGCATCCATCAGATCGGTGGATGCTACTGAGATCCACGGCTTCATTCTAGTCTTATGGTCAACCTTACTAGCAGATATCACTGCTGTTTCCACTGCCTTTTTGATGTCATTCCATCCTGCTTCCGGATGGGAATCGCTTACATGATCGCCTAACTGTCTTTCTAGTTGTTCCTGAAATATATTCTTCGCCTTATTATCATTAAGTAAAGCCCTAAGAGGTTTTCATGCGATATTTTTCTGGCGTACAGTAAGGCGCAAAAAAATACGAGCTCGCACTAGGGCATGATCTGAATCCAAACATGTGCCCCAGAACGAGCGACAGTCATCTATCGAACCCCTCCATCGGTGGCTGATGGCGATGTGATCTAGTTGCGTCCAACGTTGAGACGACTTTGGAGGTCGCCAGGTCAACAGATGCTTTTCCTTACGCCAAAATTAGTGTTTGCTAGAAATAGGCGGTTGTCTGAGCATAGTTGCAACAGACGATCACCATTGTCTGTTCTCTGAGCCTCGACACCATAACATCTACCCACATGTCTTTCTTGATCACTTAGTCTACCCACTTGAGCATTCAAGTCACCAGACAATATTATTATTATTATTATATCGGATTGCCTAACGTTTTGGAGGAGATCCGAAAGCTTTCTGTAAAACTCATCTTCCACATCGTCTAAACTGCAGTCATTTGGAGCGTAGGCAGATGTGATGAAGAGGCAGCGGCGAGTATCCCTATCTTTTCGAGTCCTCACTGTCCCGTTTAGTCGGACGGCGCACAACCGACTATCTACTGGGATGCAGTCTAGGAGAGATAGTTCTGTCCTCCGACTCAATGCTATACCTACACCAGAGAGACCCCGAGAAGCAGCATCAGGGCTACCGGATACACGAAGAGTAAATCAAGCTGCTCTTTTATTTTGACAAGGTGAAATCAGAATAATGATTTTAATGGGATCCTGTGTGCGCTTTTCCGAGTCGCAGAAGACATTGATGGCGCGAGATTCTAAAGTCCTAGCTAAAGAAGCTTGTTGCCCTATTGGACACAATTTCCGTATAATAAATGCTCCAACCCGTAGTTTAGAGCTGGTTTCAGGAGACCAGGAATAATGGTTCGGGAACTCGAATCGTTTGCATCAGCGGTGCAGTCAGATAAGGAAATGTGAGTAGAGTTAGTTGTGGATAGAAGAGAGGTATGTGTGGGTGTAGGATGGATTTGATTTCGACCAGATTGTTCTCTTGTGTTGTTACGGGTATGGTTGCGGATGTCACTTCCCTGTTGCCCACACCATGGAGGTTTGTTTCTTGAGGGACCTGAAAAGGAAGATAGATTAGTGTCGGTCTTGGAGACCTGGGAGCGTGACCGCAGAGTCCAAGGGACAACTGCTTGAGGCCGGTCACGCACGGCCTTTTTATGAAAGGTATTTTGAGGATTAGCTCCGTTCTTATAGGCCCTTAGTGGGCACCCTTACCGACGGAGACGAAAATCCGTGAGGTAGGGGAAGTGTGACATTTTTAGGGTCGACCTTTTCTAACTCGTCCTTCCTTTTGAGAAGGCAGCATCGCTGCAGATGTTGGTTGTCCGAGGGAAACACCTTACTGCTGTCACACCCCTCTGCAGTCAGCAGTACGACTTCGCCCTCAGACCTTGAGTAGCTGCTTTTAGTCTGACCGTTCTCCTGATCGTTCCACCTGATAAAGGAAACCGGTATTAGGTACTTGAATGTGAGTGAGACTATTTCGGTAAAGGATGAGCGTATTGTTCATTCTCAACTGAGGAGATTGGATCATCAGTTGGGGTGGTTGGAACATGTGTTTCGAATGACCAACCACCGACTGCCTGGACGAGCTATGTTTTGCAATGTAGGGATAGGTCGGAGGAAAGCTAGAGGCGGCCAAACCAAAGCATGTCAGAAATCCATGAAGTCATTGACAAGAGGACTTAATAATGTTGCTAGGTTTAGACTAGCTTATCGGGGCCTGCGAGATTGTATTAACCGATATTTAGAAACCTTGAAGGACATGGCTCAAAATCGTTTGCAGTGGCACAGGTGTATTCATGCAATATGTTCGCTCAACTTTCAACCTCCTGAATTCCTCATCATCTCTGTCTTTCTCTTTCTATAGTTATCTCAATGAATTATACTTCTCGAATCATGTCTTCGAACCCTAATCTTCTCCGTTACTGCTAATACTTCTACTATCTCTACCACTATGGGACTTGAACTGACAAATGCGTCTGTGTGTTGATGGGGTTCGGCAACCCGAACTTATGTATTCATGTACGATTTTCTACATTGTAACTGATTGACTGACTGACGCGAAAACTGTGTACAAGAATAATGTATTATGTCACCAAACTTGACATGTTACGTTTACCATTTGATATTTTTGTGAGACCAAAGCTTCAAGTGAAATACGTTATTCATGTTAGATTAATAATAATGAGGGTAGAGACAAAGTAAGTGACAACTGGTTTTATTTTAGTTAGATCACTAGATTTATGGCAATCAGCTGAATTTAAAAATGAACATCTGTGGAACCTTTGGTGACCAGTGAGTTCAGGACAATTTTATTTTTCCAGGTGACTACTGACAAGCACCCAGCCGTCCCATAATTACTTCCCCACTAATGAATGCATTGAAGTAACATAGGATCAGGAGAGTTCAATTATGTGGAAGGTTAGGCAATTGTCTGCAAATAAACTTGGGTGACTATATCAGATTATTGCAGGCATCTTTGAAGTTGAAAATGTTCACCAGCGGATTCTAGCTTAGTCATCTAAATATAACACTCCCTGGAGGACCTGAGGACTTGGGCCTGCCCATTGCTTGAGTTAAGTTTGAGTTCTGCCAAGTCGTATTGAAATAATAAACTATCGGATACTTTCTTGTTTCCATTAGTTCATGCTCATGCAGGAAATCATTTACTACTACTTCATATCAAGTATGAAAGAGCAAATATCTACTTTATTTAAAACAAAATCGACAGTTTGTATTGATTTTTAGTTCATTTGACATAAACATAGTGTTAAACTATGAAAAGTTATAAATGATAAGGACTTTTATTCACTAAACAGTGGTGAAGTTTTATTTGTCTGTGGAAACATTTAACGCATACAAATAAAATATCTTGAGATTAATTTGTTAAATTAAGTAACTATTTCTCGCATAACAAACAAATAAAACAAGTTTATGCACAATCGCATTCGACTCTTTTCATTTTAAAAACAATCTATCTGTAGGTCAACCAACACCAAGGGCATTCATTATAATTAGCTCCATAATTCATGATCAAGTGGATTATTGGTCAGTAGGTCAATTGATGCGATGTAAGCAAATAGAAAATCAATACAAACTAATACGTGTGCAAACAAAATGGTGTAAGCAATAATGATACAAAGAATTAGGCTCATTAAAAAATAATGAAACAACAATAACTGGAATGCAAACACGCCAAATAATAATTCCGATGTGTTTAGAAAGTTGTTTATCTTTGACAGTAGTTAGTTGTTCATTGATGATGATATGTGTGTATGCTTTGTGTGAATGTACTTAATGAGGTGAGTATTATAGTATTAAATAAGTTAATGCTAAAATAATTAAACCAACTATAAAAAGATGAAATAATGATTTCGACAATTTAACATTAGATGCATTGCATAAGTCAGTAATACAACAATTTTCTTCCATTGTTGTATTATACCAAGCTGTGTATCTATTTACACAGGTTTCATTCATTCGACCACATGATTTTGCAATATTTACTGTCACCATATTCTCACCGTAAGTAAATGTAGTCTTTATGTAAAAGAAAAATAACAAAACAAATCGTTGTACATTGAAATTATGATGATATACTCTGTTACGGAAAAAAAAATTAAACACAAAGTATTTGAAATAGGCTTTTGAAAATGTAAGGCAAAATTAGTGACAACTTAAATAGCTCACCTTTAACGTGTCTAATCAGGACAGTAACTGATATGCAATCGAATCCTACAATATGTTTATTTTTAACTCGCTCTACACTCCAGTTCTTTTTTAGTATGTCTTTTTGAATAGCCTAATTCTTTAAGCTTAAACTTATATATAAACTTATCACAGAAGTGGTGATAATCTTTAAATTATTAATTTCAAATCCTAGTGAATGATCCTATTTAAAACATCATTTGAAAAGAATATTTTTATTGTTCAATAAAACATTATAGTTGCCATTTTTTATTTGCTACAAACTCATTTCGAAAAAATCTTATTTATGAATAAGCAATAAATATGTACGATCATGTTGATTTGTTGAGTTCAGTTTCAAGATGCTGAAAACTCTACTGACAGTAGTCAATTTACATTGACTTTTAATAGTTGTAAATGAATTTATCCGTAAATGTACGTCTCTGTAAAACTTAAGAATACCAGTAATATGATCTAATACTCAATAAACTATAGTAAAGTAATAATTTTTTATTAACTTATTGTCATTAAGGAATTAAAATATATATATATTATAGAATGATTTGTAACTATTAACAATAAATTCATTATTCTTACAAACTGAATAGTTTTGTTCCCCCTTCATCAATCCTCCATCTAACTGAAACAATAGGGAATGCATACATTCTACTGATCATGGTGGGATTGATGTTAACTGCAGTCGACTGATTATGCTGATAAGATATAAGCTGAAGTAAGTTGTACAACAGGATTCCTACTGTTTGGTTGAAGCTTAAAATTTATTCTTTTCAATTGTTTAAAAGCCCTTCTTAGCGATACAACAAAATGTGAAATTTTCCTGGTGAATTTAGTAAACGTTGCAAAATGTGTTAAATCTACAACAATAACTGACTAGAATTACATCAGTGTAACTGTGGTTACGGGCTACTGACGGTCCCAAGCCCGGGTAAAGGAGGAGGGCTGGACATGGGGTTGGAGACCCCATTCCGTCGAAATCTAACTTGCCAAAAAACGCTAACCAGAAAAAATAATTCAAACCATTTTAACTCAGCCCTGGGAGTTGGAAGAAGAATTATGACTGGTCGGCGGCCTATGCTCCATTGGGGGTAACAGGCCTAAGTAAGTAAGTAAGTAACTGTGGTCATAAATTACATTTCATTTCTTTTCCTTTGACATTATTAATCTTTTGTGCATTGAGTTTTTTTAAAAAAAAGACTTAGCAGAAACTGTCTTAGAACAGACAAGTTGGCTTAGACAAAGAAAGCTACATAACTAGTTGATTTTATCCATCTACGTAAAAGAATAAGTGTATCGAAGAAACGTTAAGTAAATCTTAATTCATAAAAAAAATGTACACCATTACATAATTTCAGATATTTATCTTTCTAAAATCTTATGTCTTATGAATAATATTCGCAATGATTTCGCAAGTTATTATATTTTAATGTCATTGATAGCGAAATAATTCTCTACAACTTTTACCATTGTTTAACGTTGGATATTTGTAAGCAAAAAAAAATAGATGATCAGTATTTACATATTTCTATTCGTTGATTTTAATGTTGCTGATTTCATTTATTTGCAATCAGAAGAAACCAGAGTTTCAATACTCTTTTCAAATTTCACTTTTAAGCCTTAATACAATTTTTATAATTACAAATGCATAATTGATGCATTTTATGGCAAGATTTACTTTTTAAACAACATACCTTACAAAACCGACATGCTGTATTTAGTGAAACTCCTTTTGCTTGTGAACTGAACGGATCTTTGCATACATCACAAATGTAACAACCAATATCAGCATCTAAAAAGGTATGGAAATAGATGTTTTGATTCTCCATGACCCAATATCACTTCATTTTATTTTTAGGATAGTTTGAAAATATTTAGGTGATTTCTACAAGTTACTTATTAGTAGGTTAGTAAATTAGAAGGAGGAAAATAGTTTTGAATGATTAGTCTAATGTGCAATTTTTCTATCGGTTAGTTATAAGATAAATTTGATTGCAGATATCAGTAATGCGAATCATTAATTTGAACAGGATGATGCAAATTCACTTATTAGAGAAATGCCTTCAAAGAAACTCAAATATCATAATAAATTAAGACGCCTGCAGAAAATTTCATATCAAATGCACAAAAAACTATAATTTTCGACTGAATTAAGGAGAAATATAGGTTAAAAGCCGTTATTTAGAAGTTGGTAGCACTTGATAACAGCTAAAAAGTATAACACTTATTTCTCCTTCTCAATAAATGCTTTAGAATATCTCAAAATGCATTTATACCATGCATTCTTCATAACAGCACGTTCATAAACGACTGTAAAAACTATGGCAAATCGTTTCAGTGGTATTTTTTGCCAACAATAATGAATTCTTAAATGATACTGGTTCAAAAGCCATTTATGTGACTATTGACTCCATAAAATTCATTTTACTTGCTTGTCTAAAGAATTAGTAAATTTACGAATTCCCATGAGACCTCAAACGGTCATAGACTAAACAGAATATCTTTCATTCTCTTCAAATAAGGTGAATCCGATGTTCCACTACTTCTTCTGAAGTCTTTTATGGCCTCTTTCTTTTCTTCTACCTCTCTAGAGACAGGTACTCACCCTTACTGTAAGAAAACCCTCTACATTACACTAAGTTATAAACGTGGAGATGAGACTGACATGAATAATTATTGGTCCCTAAATAATATTACGTCTGTTTATAGGATAATTAGAAAATTGTTGGTGACTAACCTTCAAATTATTTGTCAGTTGAGAAACTTATCTTTGATTTTTAACATAGTTTCCATAAGACTTCATCTTGTATGACTTGCCACTTTGACTTTTAACTAAGGATACCTAGTCTTAGTGCTATATTTTGACCTTTGAAAGCTATCGACATGGCTATCCCAACCTCCTTCTTATGAGCAAACGCACATCTCATGGGATCAGAAACTCTTTGGTTGCTTGATTCACTCCCTTTCTCAGTCACGGACACCGAAAATTCAAAATAAACTGGTCGTTGTCGGTTGCTGTCCCGATCAAGAGTGGAGTAATACAAAGTAATGTCCCAGGCTTCTTGTTCTTTTTAGCTTGTGTAAATGATATTTTATACTCTGCAAGTATGCGATTTCTAAATACAGATTATCTTAGAGTAATGAACTCATTCTCCCCTTATGAGCTAAACAGTATGCAAAAATGCACCAGTATGGAACTCAATCAAGTGGTGCTTAAAATGGGATTTGAAGCTTAATACTATTGAACGTTGATAGATTTGCTTTGGCAATTCTTTACTCAGCCTAGACCTAACCATAAATGGTAAGGTGTTTTTGAGGTTTCATACAGTAGTGGACTTAGCTATTCCTATAATCTACTTCATAAGTTCGAGCACAATTTAAAATTGTCTAGAGTCGAAGTGGAAAATTTTAATTTTATTTTAGTTGCATAAAAACTATCAATTGCAGTCACCTTTTTATTCTACCTTTATTCGCTTGTAATCAGTGTAATCACAAACGAGTTTTGCAATTCTACTCTATTGTAATTCTTACATGGACCTATTTATTTAAAATACATTAATCACATAAATGGTTTCCAGATGGAATGGGATCAAGTAAAGTACTCTTTGAGTTGGCAAATGATTAGTTGAGCGTTGGGTGGTTCACTAATTAAGGTATACCTTCAGTGTGAACATACATCCATTGAAAATGCCAGATCCACAATATCCTTGATTATATGAAATTCAGTTTGACAAATGATATGCACACGTCTATATTTAGAGACAAATGCTGGATATCAGATACTAACGAAATCACATCTTGATGAAAAAATTCAACGAAACACGGAAAATAATCCAGCTACTTATAGATTTATTTATTTACGTACTCTGAATAAATATTTGGACATTTGTTCTGTTCCAGAAGATTGTGATCGAAATGTAATGTTATAATTATGATAATGTTACAAAAATAAATGAATAATACGCTTTACTTTTATTAGAAGGCTTTATTACATAGTCAGTTTTTAAAATGTCACAGTCGTGTTGGAAGGTAAACATACGAAATAGGTAATCCCTTTTCTGAATATAAAGATTCTCTTCAATGCATTTTAATCTCAGGTTACAAAGCTAACGGGCTATTGTCTGTCTTGGATAATTTCAGGTTTTTTTTTAATAACTTCTAAATAATTACTCCGATCATCATTGCAGTTTTATTTGATAAAGATAACATTCAAATAAAATAATCGAATGGGACACTTTCGATGTTTCTGGAAAATGAAGCGTATGCGTAGAAGCTGTTATGAAATCATTCATGATTTTGTAACATTGGAGAATAAAAATAAGTAGCTCGCTTTTACTAACGTTTATAATTCATTGAAAATGAATAAAATGTTTTTGTAAACTAAAAAGAATTCACTCAACAGTTAGTTGCGTTGAGCATATAGTTCAGCAAATGAACGCACAATCAGTTGTACGGAAATAATTAAACTGTACTGGTTGGTCATGTACAGGTCATAATTTAGGTGCTAATTTTGATTTCCTAGTATATGAGTTTGTTTAGAGTTCTTCATATTTATTGTCTTTCACCAAAGTATCTAAGGGTTCACATTGCCTGTAAATCGTATTACCACTCAAAGATTGTGTACATTAAAATAAAAACTATGAACCCTCAATAACTTAGTACTTTCTTATTTGACTGTTTATTTTAAAAATTTTCGAACGAAAGTATTATTTAAGTGTTTAGATGTTTGATAAACATCAACTCCTCAAGTTGATTAGTTTTTAGAATGAACAAATCTCGATATTTCTTAACAAAAATTGTTGCGTCATTTGAAAAATAAATGAAAATGATTAGTTTTAATGAACTTTTGATTGTTTCATCACAAGTGAATTGATTTTATCTTACTTCAAATGTGTCATCGTTGCAAACTAACAGATTTTAAATCAATAATCTGACACAATTGCGTTTACGAATTCTAATAGGATTGTGAGTGTGTATTATCCAGAAGTCTCAAGCTTATTCGAAATGTGTTTGATGCTGTCTGGTTTCCAATTTTCTGTATGAATGACGTTAATTCATAATGACAATGATTATCTAGCTCAGCAATCTCTACTTAATTTTTGTATCGATCAGAACAGGTTTGTTTAATTTTAACTTTGTTACTGATACCGAACTAATATTGATCATATTTACTTTAGACTACTAAACAAAATCTTGGTTACGAGACATTTTGAACGTCATGAAATCCATTTATTTACTATTTTTTATAAGAATTCCTAAAAGTCTCAGACTTTTATTTGAAAACTGAGTTTTTTTGTCAGTTTTGTCAAAAATAATTTTACAATCAGTAGGTGAGTAATTTTATAATGTCAGATGCTAAAATTTAACATATTGAAAATTTCTAAGATGTATTTTATGTTTTACATACATTGTGAATTGAGATTAAACATCATCTTGTTATAATTTTTTATGAAATATTCAAATGTTACAATGAATGATTGAACAAACTTGGTAAAAAAGATAATTTTAAATTTATTTCATTACACTATAAACTCTGGTTGTTGGTTTATCACAATGAAATCGGTGTAATAAGTTTTGAGAATCAGTGAAAATGTAATGGTGCAAAACATGAAGCTTTAATGGACCAATTACCTAGGGATGTGCAAATCATAAGGCATTTTAAATCAGTTGTGTTGATTGATGTGTTAAAATGGATGTCTCACTTTCAGACAACTGAGTTTCAATGTCTAACTGCATCAGGTACACTGTTGAACTGCAATTCTGTGGTCTAAAGGTTAAGCACTCTCCATATAACCTGATAGTCGTCGGTTTGATCACTTGTGGGCTCGCGGATACACAATTCATTGGGGTAGTATACTAGATAAACACAGTTACTTAGTGCTTCTTGGTTTACAATAACTATTTGAGGTCAGTTCATGATGTAAATTGTAAAATGACACTTTGACGTCAAAGAATGATCAATGATCCAATATTTTCCCTTCTTAAGGTGCTAGTCTGATTTGTTGTTGAAAATATCCTGTCAGTTAAAGTACTGTTTAATAAATTTCAATTTTTTAAGTAAGTAAAAATTGCCATTCGTTACCTGTTAAATGAATCTTAAGAAACATTTTATTGCTTCATTTTTTGTAATTTTCAAAAACAGATATTTATAAAATTTACAAGGTAGTAGATAATTGTATCAAAAAAAAAAACATTTTCATCACACTAATTAAATAATCAAGCTAATTTTTCAATATTTTCTTGCTTACTTTAAATATTACATATCAAGTTTGTGCTTTAGACTAGAAATTCAGTTTTTCCAACCCAAACATCCCAATGAGAAGATCATTTAAAATATCTAATCGCTTCTATTGTTCTGTTCATTTATGAGAGTCCTAAATGAAAAAACCCTGATATCTAGGCACATCAGAACTTAAGTTAATCAACACACTGAACTTCCTTTCGTTTCACTATACATGTATTTGCTCAAATCATGTTCTAGTTAGGTGGGCTATTCAATTTCTACCAATACCTGGAAAACATATAAATGAATAGAGATTTGACAAGGCAATACGGTCATTTGATCAGATAAATTGGAATGAGGTATTGATGTAGAAATCAATTACAGTGAATTTTTTTTGAACGAAAGTTTACTAGAAATATTTTCATTCAGGTGAACTATAATATCGAAGGAAATCATCTATTTTCAAATTGTAATCTAATAACTTATTTTCTGATTATCATGTGATTTATTGATTTTTCAATCAGTGAATGATCATAGTTCAAGTAATTCTCATGACGAAATTATATTTGGAATTTACAAAAAAAGAATGTACATTGCAAAAACTTCAGATTATGATTTTAGTCTTAGGTTAAATTGTAGGTGTGGATCGGTAAAGAGTTTTGAACTGCAACTGAACAGTTCACCAGTGCGATTTGACTTTTATTAACTGTTGTCTACTTGTTTTCTGTTCATGATGAAATCTATCTTTAGAATAAAATATATATATGACAAAATGGTATGCGATGTATAAAATTTAACATGACAGCATATTTTTAGTTGTATTATTAAACTGAAGTATAATTACAGAATATGCTTTTAAAAAATCGTCATAACAATTATGACTTTTCAAACCTGTAACTAGTAACACTCAACAAATAGCTTATTATTAACTAATATTTATCACTAAACATATGGTGTTAGGTAAACGATAAATGCTTATCGTAGGATTATAATAATTTTTAGTACCTTTATATTATCGTACCGAGGAAAATGTAAGATTCAGTTGGAACTCATCAGTTGGATGTATCTGTATTAAAGTGTTAGTGTCTTTTCTTCCAAGTTAAAATATACTCAAAACTTATGAATAAAAGGAATATTAAAGTATCCTATTCAGGATGAATAAAAGCCACTGGAGAGTGATTGCTTCGATTTATGATATAATCAAAAGATAAACTCATACCCTTATGTACAGTCCTACGGGTTGTTTTTTTATAGATCAAAAGTATTTGTGGATGGCATCCATCATTTCAAATAAAAAACATTAAACTACTGTGTGCAAAATGATTTTCTAGTTGGAAAATGTTTTCCTGAAATTCAAATCAAAATATTTCAATTTTAATTCATACATCCAAGAGTATGATGTGAAATTTAATACCGAGTTTTTTTTTTTAAACCATCCACTCAACAGTGAACTACTTGTTTGAACTGATAAAAGTGGTTAACAGTTTTTTACAACTTCGGTTTGACATTTTATTCTCTTTTCTTCATTCTTTACAAAAATTTCAACATTTTGTGTTATTTTTTTTTGAAAATATTATCAATGACTCTAACATATAATTAATACAAGTTAATGAAATGTTTTAAAATATCCAATAAAAGTAATATTACAACTATTTTCAATATGATACAAACTTACTGACATTTTCTTGTATGGTTATAAGGCAAATAATGAAAGTGAATAGTTTGGGCCTTTCTTGATATTTCATATTTTTCATTAGTATACTGCAGTGATAATAAATTATATGCTAAATATATTACCCTACATAGAAAAAGCAGAGTTATTCCCAAAGTATTTATTTGTAATTTAATGGTGATGTATATTTATTGACATTTGTATTCGTATATGCACATAGACATGTCGTAATTCGTTCAGTATGTGTGTTGCTAGGTTACCGGTAACAAAAGAACTTGCAGTTACTGTTTAAAACGCCTATTGCTTAGTAAACAGTTTGATAACAATTATTGACCATCCAGCAGTAAATTTAAGCGCGAAACAGTTTTAAGTGTTTTAACATTTCATTTTATCTGTTTGTTTATTGTTTTGTTTTAATTATATGTCGCTCAAAGTCCTAATCCGGGGAAAATATTTACGGTTTTTAGTTTTCGATAAATGAATAAAATAATGTAAATAAAAACAGTATTAGTTTTTTGAGAAGACCCTCCTTTTTTTGAAACAAAAAATAGAATGGATACATAGTGAATATAGATTAGTGTTTCTTTTATTTGATAATGAAAATTTATTGTTAAGGTATGCTCATAAAATTCATTCATTCGATTGCATCAATTCATATCATTCATGCAACAACATAGCATTGTTTTTATACAAAATAAAATAGTGGGAATGAAGGTGGTCCACTAGGTAGATAAATGTGCACTAATTTTAACACAAATTATGAATTGAACAGTTTGATTACTGAACTGTTATTTTGGATGCCAAAATGAATGGATGAAATGCATCATATCGACAAATAAAACGTAATATTACAATGGGGTCGAGTGATAAAATTTTCTTTCAAGAACTAATTTCAAGGTTTAGAATGTTTGTTTTGTTTACAGTAAAACAGCTTATCTATAGACAAGACATTAAACCCGTAGATAAATGTGATTAAGAATTAATTTAATCATCAGTGACGAGAGATAACGATTTCACAGGTCCTTTTTAGTGCTAATGGAACAAAGAAATCCTATCATGTTAAATTCAAGCTAAGCATACTAACGAATCGATTCGATATCCACATACGATCTACTCATGCATAGAGAATTATGCTAAGTTTCTTGATTGACTCGATTTGAACTTCGGAAGAATCTGTTTTGTTACGTCATTGGAGTGATTGGTTAGTCCGATCTTCAGCAACCGCCCCCAGTCAGCTAATAGAGTTATTCCCATTACCTAGCTGAGCCATGAGGAGACCTTATGTCGGATTTTGCATCCGGAGAAGTAGACATTAGAATATCATGTTACTAATGTTTCCGCATATGAAAATGAACTCCGGTCGGAGAAATTCTATCGAAAAAGCTGGAAATAAGGACGAAAAATCTTAATTTATGTGATGTACATATCCATAAACTTTATTGAGTAAAACAAAGTATTATGGGATCTAGAGAAAGGTTGCAAACTTCAGGTTTTCATAGTGATTGGATAATATGCAAAAACCATCTACTTTATGTAGAATAAATAATATGCGCCCAACAGTGGAATACAGTACGCGCATTTCTTCCCCAAGCTGGATGCACATACACCTCAGAGTTGATGTTCACTAAGGCTAACATTGCTTCCAACAGGTAAGTTAAACGTTATTCAACTAAAAATAGTGCTTATTTATGGTAGGAATTTGTGAATGAATATCATCATATACAGGAGATTAGATTAGATAATAAGGTAGTATCACGACAATACATATAAGCGAACACTATTATTCACCATTGTGTTTTGTTCTAATTAGGTAATAATTGACTGGCCTATTTAATGACAATGTAAGGTTAATGGATGGGTAGCGTTAGTTAAACACTTTTTAAGTCCTAAAAGCTTGTAATTTTGATTTCATTTCATTAGCTGATTACGACTTTTGTTTTTTAAATAGGCTTATCCATGGAGGGTAAAACTAAAAATTTCGTTTGTTAGACAGGAAATTGGCTGTGAGATAATATTTATTGTAGAGTTATGGAGATTGTTATTTTATATTGAGATCATGGATCCATCAGTGCTAGACCACTATTAGAAACCTGAAAACACTGGACAACCGTTTTGTCTCAGTAGTGCACATTCACGACCCCTACTCGCGGGTATCGAACCCAGAACTTTTGGTTTTCCACGCGACCTCCTAATCTCTAGACCACTGGGTCGATATCCAACGGTGTCAATATCTAACTTTGTTCTATCTAAGGTTTTGTGCTACTTCACCCATTGTCTTATATTTACTACCGTTATTTTAATAAACTTCATTTAAATAATATAAGGCATATGTTTTGAGGTTATAAGTAAATAAAGCGAAAATTGGGTTAGATCTTTACATTAAATACAATTGCATATCTTAGGTCCTTCAGATACTTGAAGCTCAAATACTATGCATATATTCTTTGAAATTTTGTTGAAATTACTTGGAAATATGATTGAATCAGATTGAAGTTTATTTCTGTAAATAATTATTCTCACAGACTGGTTTACATTTTAATCAGTAACTCTATTTTCAGTTAATAAAACTATGTGATTTCAACCAGAAGATATCATGGTATCTTCAAGTTTAATAAGTATCAAAAATGAAATTGTGCTTTGGAATTTTGTGAGAGACTATAATTTAGAAATTTGTTTCATAACAACACACTGACTTAAATCTATGAAAAAAATAGGTCAAAAATATCTCCAGTGTTTAACATGTTTATTTCAAGAATTCACATCCCAACGACATAAAAAATTTAAGAAAGAATCAGAACGCAGAAAAAGTAAGTTATCCAAAATGAAGCCTATCCAAAGTTCCTGAAACCATTTATTTTAAGTAGTATAACTAAACACTCTATATTCATTCATTGAAGCTTGTTCAAACATTGTTAGTTTTGAATATATATGACCTGTTTAAGTGACGTATTAACGAATTTCGGTGTATTTTAAGGCTTTAACTTTTTGTCTACAAAGATTTCGTTTTATTAGCTTCTTCGTAGTTATATTAATTAGAAATCATTACATTTCCATAAAAGAGTGGATCAGAAAAAAAAAGATTATATTTTATGCTTGAAAGCATTTGCCAGTATATTTGTATATTTATTTACTTTTATTCTCATGATTAATAATAAAAACACTAAAAAGTTATCTTCAAGAAAATTACGCACACACTAGAGTTGTTATTTAAAATTAGAAAGTATTTTGTTGACAAAAACAAGCAACAACAAAACTTGCAAGAAAAAAAAATTTATCAAACTAAATTAATTCGTCAACGATTCAAAAAATGAAGAAGAAGAAAAAAATCGTTATCTCGGAATTCATCCTTAAGCCAATTGGATGAAATTGATGGAAAAAAAATAACTTCAGTTTGCGTGCAATTTTTTTGATAAAACTTATTCAAAATAATGCTAATGCTATTTTTCATTTCACGAACAGTTTTTCTTCCTTGTGATGTTGTTGTTGGTGACATGAGTTTGTATTTGTATTCCACTGAATTTCCAATATTCAACAAATAAGAAGCATGCTATTGGTACCTGCCAACAAAAGCATCTAATTCCAAAGGTCGCTTATAGTGTTCCACTAGGTATACATAATATATATGTATATATATATATATATCATAATGGATGACCATAAACTCTCAACACTGTCAACTTAGTTATCCAATAAACAAAAAAATTTATCAAAAAAAATGAGTGTAATTTTGAAAGTAAAACAAGGTAGCGTTTTTCTCATTTATTTCGTAGAAATGGAATATTGTCTTTCCCATATTAGTTCCTTTCTTTACTCGTGTTATATACTTACACATATACCGAAAAACTGTATTCAGAGAATTATTTATTTTATTTTATTTTATGTGATTAAAAAGTAATAAATTGTGAATTTTGACAATGTAATTAGTTTGTTTCACACATTTTGTTGTTGTTGTTGTTGTTGTTTCTTACGTTGTAAAACAACTGAGTGAATTAATTGTATTTTTGAATGAGAAAAGAAGGAGGTGAGAAGAAACCATTCATAGGTTCAAAACAAAATTTTATGTACATCTATCTATCTATCTATGTAGATATATTGCTAAGAGGTAATTATCTGTCGAAAATTTAAAAATTACACTGCACTTTCCTATGTATGTGATCAAATCAAGCATTTATTTATTAAATGGTCTATAATTACTGAACAATTAATTAATGACAAACAAAGTAAACAAATCAAGTTTTACTTCCAAGTGATAACATCAATGCTACAAAATATTGGAAGCTAAAAAAAATTGTTTTTTCTTAATGCTGAGATGAATTAAACAATCACTTTTTGGTAATAACATTTGCAAAGAATCAAAATAAAAACTGAACAGACATTGAATTGGTCAAACAAGACGAAGTTGGATTATTGAATTAAGGCTACTGAAATATAGTCATCTGATATGATATTATTTATGCTGTTTATAAGCAAATCAATAAATAAATCCATACAAACCATAAAAATGAAATCAGAATTATGCCGAGAAATTTTTGATAGAGATTGATCTAGTATCATGGATGTTTTTATCGAATTTACGCTGGTTACATAAATGTCATCTGTTTAAAATAAAGTTATGTGCTAAACTTGTGAGATATTTGGGACATGTCACTGTTTGTATGGTATAAAAATGATGATCATACTAGAAAAAAAAAATCAGTTGTCCAGGTTATATTGACCAATAATAATACTGCTATTACCGATCCTGTGCTTTGTTTTGTCATATTACAGCGCCATAAAACATAAAATCAGATTAGTAGTTGACTGCGAATTTCGAATACTTTTTGTGGCTATGATACATAGCTAAATTATTACTAACTAACTAACTAACTAACTAACTAACTAACTAACTAACTAACTAACTAACTAACTAACTAACTAACTAACTAACTAACTAACTAACTAACTAACTAACTAACTAACTAACTAACTAACTAACTAACTAACTAACTAACTAACTAACTAACTAACTAACTAACTAACTAACTAACTAACTAACTAACTAACTAACTAACTAACTAACTAACTAACTAACTAACTAACT